TATATTACATGAAAACACAGCATTTGCATCCCTCGATGTGCGCCTGCGCAAGGGTATGATGAGTTGCTTGTATCCCTCGATGTGCCCCCACACGCAGAGTGCCCAAGCAAAATTCCCTAACATTTCCGTAGCTACTCGCTACTACCGACCACTTATTTGGAGTTCTCTATCGCAAACGTTTTTTCTGAAGCGTACATTTCATATTACTATTCCGATTTTCTCTATTTTCAGAGTTTCCAACTGTGTGATAGCATTTTGTTATCATTTTTCATAACTTTCCTACTGAACTGACGGCTTTTCTTAGTGATTCCTTACTATCTAACTATCTAAATGGGGCACCCTGTCTGGGCAGGGGCAGTAGAAACCAGTAGGTTTGTCAACCTCGCAGCTCTCGGGTCGGCTGTAAACCCAACACCAATAAGAAAACCCTAAATGCACTTACATTTGAGCAAACTGCTCTAGACCCTGGAACAAGTAGAAACAGCATGAGTATACAAGTGCTATGTTATTAAAACTACCACTCTGACACTTTGGGCAGGAAAGGCGGGTGGTACAATTATTATATCGAGCGTTTCCGCAGGCTATACAAGCTTATAGCCATAAAGGGCGAAAAAGAAGCAAAAAGTGGGAATTTTTTGAAAAAACTTCAAAGTGAAAATATCTCGAAAACTAGAAAGTTACTACTATCATATGTTGATTTTATCTGATTGATCCACCCTCCGTGTCACTCAGGCGTGTTATTTCTGGGACACCCTGTATAAATAAAATAGTTCGGTATAATATATTAACACCTTTTATGAAAACTGGTTCGCACGCATATGGAAAAAACCCCTTGCACGTCCTTGGAGGTCGTAGCTACCAACAATGAGCCACTGCCAATAAATTATAAAAATTTTATGAAACATCGTCGTAACAATAAAGAATCACTCTATTTTCCTGTATTTGTATCCTTATTCTTATGGAGCATTTGTGCAAAAGAAAAACGAACATTTCCAAATATTCCAGAAACCACTATTTAGCGACAATCTCACAGAAAGCTATATTTTTATTGTTCAACAGTATAAATTATAAAGACAGATAGTTGCATAAAGAAAAAAAAATACTTTTGGGTATTTGTAGCTTAGTTTTTATTATACACTCTTTTTTACTACTGTTTATCAATTATCCTAATATCGCATAAGGTCTACTAAGGCCCGTATTGTCAGTCGTCCCTACAATTTATTGTAGGGCGCGTTTATGGCCTCCTTGATTGTCATACTTCTTTCTCTCCTTCAAAATTTCTAGATTACACTTGTCCCGTGTCAGTGTCAGAGCTCTCCTATTGTGAAGATATGTTTTCTTTTTAAATTGTAGGAAATTTCAGGCTGATAAGACATAACTCAAAAGCAAGCACAATTTGATGCAAATAGGTGTTTGTGACATAACCTCAAAATAGAGCGCTGACACAGAGAAGTAGAAAACTGTGACAATCCAGGAGGCCATAAAGGCGCCATACAATTGTAGGGACGACTGAAGATATGGGCCTAAAGCAGATCTTCCGTGAGATAACCGTTACAATCGTGTGACAATACAAATACAGGGTGGCCCAGAAATAACACACCAGAGTGACATGGAAGGTAGATTGGCTTCAGATCAATCAGGTAACCTTAGTCAAAATTTATCCTCTTAAAAATATCAATTGTATGGAGGTACTTATTTCTTACAAAAAATTGTAAACAACTTTTTATACGAGAGATAGAATATGAATACGTAACACAATCGGTATTTACGTGCATTAATCTCACTTTCTTGCAAGTTTTTGAACATGATAGTATGCTACTTGTTATGTATTTATATTCAATACAGACGAGGCGAAAGAATTCGTGGGATAAATTTTTGGATGAATCATGAGGTTGCCAGGAGTTAACTCGCTGCAGAGTGTAAACAATTACAAAACTACAAAAAAAACATCTTTTTGGCCCGTACAAAGTATTTTTAGATTCTTTGGATCATTGTGAATAAAAATAGTTTCACTCTAAAAGGGTCGTTCTTTCATGTTACTCAAACTTCAAACCTTCTACTTGGCGTATTTTTGAAATGCTGCTATTCCATTGTTAATAATAATAACGCGCATTGGAATACGCATTAGCGCCTCGCGTTGCTAACAATTAAGTAATAATTAAGATATACTGATCTCAAAATACTGCTCGGAGTCTTGAAGTAAAATGTGCGAAATTTAACGCATAATTTTAACTCGCGTTTCAAAGCATTGAAGATCGATATGTTTAAGGTTTCTTAGAAATTTAATCGTTTTTAACATCAAAACGTTTAATTTTAGAGAAAACTTGCTAATGACTTTTGACCACAACAAAATAATTCAATCTTGACATTACGAGCTCAAAGCTAATACAGAAGTAGATGATTACGCTTACGTTACCTAGTCTGCTCTGAAGACATTCAGCCCAGGAGATCGTAAGAATGCTCAATATCCAACGTGAAAATACTCCACTCGCCTTTTATGAACAACCACAACACATTTTCACACACAAACACCACAAAATCACTCACACCACCATCGCGACACGACGACACATTGCGGAAAATCGCCGACAAAGACTTCCCGGCACACGACGAGTGGTACAGACGCAGAGCGTTTTACGGAGGGATCGACGCACCACGCTCCCCAAACGCCAACCGACAACTGAACACGTTAGGCCGCAGCGTGTATTACGCCGGTGCCGCTATTCGTGCTGCGTCGTCATTGGTTGGAATTTATCAGACGCTTTTCCACCAGCCAATCTCCTTGGGCATCTACGTAAACATTAGAACATCAGAAAAAACGTATCACAATTTTATCACAAAAAAAAAGAAAAGAAACAGACAGATCATTCTACCTCAAAGCAACTTAAAATAAACGCATAAATTGCACGATTTTCCCAACAGATCATTTTAAACGAAACATTAAACTTTCTATTATTTTCAATATTCTTGATATTAGAAGGAATCAAATTGTAAAATATAGGTGCAAGATGTAATTATGGGACACATAATTTGTATTTAATTTCTTATTTGCATGTACAAAACTACATACTGCAAGGATGGAATTGCACACAACATCGTGCTTAAAGTACAGACAAAGGTAGTTAAGTGTAAGAGTAGCTCAAGCTAAACTTCGCTATCTTTGTCCCTCACATGTACAAAATATGAATAAAGGCGTTATTATTATTATTATTATTATATATTTATAAGATTTTAATATTGTTAATTTCATGCATAGTGGGATATAATCTAGGTTTTTTTAGAATAATTCTTACAATATGGTTCTGCACCACTTTTAACTGCCCAAGAGTTGAACCGTACATCCCACCCCATACAAATCAAATATGCCATATACCAAAAGGGGCACCACAAGTGCTTTGTAAATCATCAAAATTTGTATATTACGAAGAGTGAATTTATGGATGAAAAATCTATTTTTTTTTCTCAAGTACACCACATGATGGTCCCACTTCAAGTGCTGATCAACAACAAACCCCAACTATTTAATTTCATTTACTTCTTTGAAAGGCTCATCTATATTATCAGGCGTAATTTGATTAAATGCTGGTCTATTAGCCATTGTTATGGAGAAGCCAATATAATGAGTTTTTATATTCAAAGTTAATTTAAATGAGTCTAGAAAGTTTTTGAGCATTATAATGACGTATCAGGTCTCTTTGTTATTTTAAACAATAACAATAGGGAACCTTGCCTTTGGCTCGTACGACTTGCGATAATTTTTTTGAAGTGTATCTTTCTGTTAGAAACGCTTCATTAATAGAGTGTCCATGCTAAGGCCGATAACGCTGCTAATTCTACCCAATCCAAATGATAGTTTTAATTTACTCTTGGCTTTGTCTAAGTATCGTATACTGTGAAACTAACACCTCTAACTCAAATCATATATTGGAACGCTGAAACATTTTTTAACGGAACGGTGCTACAGCTTCAGATCACCGAAAATATTGTTCAATTATACATTGACACAGCTCCTTTCAGAATAAAACAATCTGATAAATAATATTTTAATCAATTACTGTGATTAAGGCTTTCCACAACACGTGAGAATAAGAAAAAAACATGTTATATGCATAAGGAGCACTTTGCATACATACATACTCGTATACACTAATTTTTTGTAAATATCCCAAATTCCCGTAAAAACCGCTCACATGCAATATCAAATACCAAAAAACAGACCAAATATAAAAAACCAAAAGCTTAAAAATTTTGAGATTTGCCGAAAATTGTCTCATCAAAAATTGTTTAAAATAAACACACACAAAATTCAATTAGTCAAAAAGATCCTTTAGGGTCGGTTGGTCGGGGTAGGTTTCTATGACAAGACATCTTCAAAGTTCAAGAAACTTAAATTTCCGTGAGATAGGTTGAAAATCCACCTATTTTTTTGATGAAAAGATTATTTTGTTAGAATAGTGTATTATATCTAATGTATTGTATTGTTTTGGCTTTGTTGAAAAACAAAGCGTCCTTCTTGTTTGCATTGGGGCTTACTGAACGGATTTAAAATAAATAAATAAATGTTTATTCGCCATTACAATAATAATAATAATTTTACAATATTTACATTAATACTATCACAGCTGTACCTTATACTAGCTACTTATCCTAATTACATAATATTAATTTCTACATTATTTTAAACAATTTTTGATGAGACAATTTTCAGCAAATCTCAAAATCTTTAAGCTTTTGGGATTTTTTTTATATTTGCTATATATTTTCGTCTGTTTTTTTGGTATTTGATATAGTATGTGTGAGCGTTTTTTACGGGAATTTGGGATATTTATCCAGGGTAGTTCATCCATGTGTGTATTGATATAAATACACTTATCGAATTTTAACCATGGCTTCTTCAAACAGTTCGTGCCGCGTTTTATTGAATTCTCACAGAATAATTACCGTTATATTACAAAGAAAACCTGTGCATTTATTCCATTTTGATCACAATTATGAATTTTTTAGGTTGCCTGCATGCACATTTTCGAGCCATCTATGACAGAAACGGAACATCACAACTATTGCATTACTTATATTTAAGATATCTATAGGGAGTAATTCAAGGCGAAGTTAGTAGGAGTACTAATCGGTAGATGCCACATGCATGCGTAATTCCTGCGCCATCTACGGACTGTTAACCAAACTCCATAACTACTGAATTAATTGCAATAAAGAAATCTACAGTAGGCTACTTTATCCATTCTTTGTTCATATTCACACTACTAGATGTCGCTAGCAGGTACAGTGTCGCCATCTATGGTACGTTAACATAACTTTATAATCAGAGAATTGATCACGTTAAAAATACCTGTGTTTGAGGAGCTAGTTCTAGCACCGCAGGTTGTTAGTAACAAAAGACACAGACAGATGTCACCGGCGGTTAAATTGCGGCGCTATCAGATTCACCAATTTTGCGCTATTCTTACGATTTTTTTTCAAGTTCTGCAATTTTTAGACGATCTTTATGACTGGTCTGGACGACTTTTGTAACTGATTTGACTACAATACTTTGCTATCCAGTAAGCAGCTGGTTACTTTTTTGTTGCATATGCTCTACAATTTTGGGACACTATAAACAAATGTCTAGTACAATTAGTAATAATTCTTCGAGTAATTTGGGAGGCTTTTATTTTATACAAGACATATAAGGCCAACAAATGTTATACTACCATTCTAATAGTTGTTATTGTTGTTATATACATATTGAAACAAAATAAATATAAGGAGTGAACTAAAATAATTACTGAATTAACACCCAAAAATTAATAAACACAATAAAACCACCAGCTTAATCACAACTCATCATCAGATAATTCTTTTTCAGAGTTCAATGTATCACGAGATATATCTATATCATTTTTCCTCAAAAACATATAGTATTGCTCAGGAATGGATCTGAATCTTCTTACTTTTTGTCTTATTTGTTTCCAGGTCTCTTGATAGTAGTTTTTGCTGTCTTTCGCCATAGCTTTATAATCATTTCCATATTTGAGTATGAGGTATGATAACCATTCAATTTGGCTGTTGGGTAGCCTGATCTTTCTCACTCTTGGCGCTTTAGCATCCTCCTCCAACATCTGAGCCACTCGCGATTTTGAACGAGAAGATTCTGGTTGAGGGATTTCTTCTTCTTTCCATTCGTTTTGGTTAGACATCAAAGACGCCTTCAGGGTTTTTGGGACCTGTATAGTTTTGTTAGGATCACAGGAAAGACCCATGTCTTTCATATTAGTCTCGACAGATCTCTTGTTGTCCCAAGCTTCCTTTATTTCTTTGCTAAAATAATAAAAATGCTATTAACAATGCTCATTTTAGGTAATTTGTTGTACTCACCATTTTATGCTTCCTACACCAAAAATTTTGTTACGTAGTCGTTTTCTGTTTACGGCGTGCCTGAAAACTTTCCTTCTTCTTTGTTTTCGTAGCTTTGTCATTTTAAATTTCTAATATTCGATATATGTAGCTGTTTTTAAGAACGACACCGTGAAACGCGAAATTGCAACAGCAAATTGAGGTTAAAGTAACGTTGAGTTGACAGCACAGCAGTGTTGCCAAATTCGTCTTAGGGAATTATCGAACAAACACGTGAAAATTATCGTACATTATCCTACACCGTGCCTTAGGTTCTCTCAGGATTCATGATGAAGGAAATGTCCGTCTCGAGGGGGGAGAAAGGGACTCTTTTGTTTCCCACTCTTTCCTATAAGCTCGCTGTCTATGTTTAGCTTCAAAGATTCCGCTCCTTTTTTTTTTTGGTTTTCGAGAGTATCGCATCTTTTGTTGTGCTTCTCTCTTCTCGCTTCAACTTGATTCGGAATATCGTTATTGAGTTGAAACCGGTTAAATATCGAAAATAACTGAAAACGATCTTTTGTCATAAAAACGGGAGACGTCGCATTCATTTCTTTTAATGCACTTGGGTAAATAAAAATATGCGCTTCATGTCAATACATAGAACGTGAGATCTGATTGACGGCAATTTTTCCCGTTGATGTTTGCCGAGATAGTCCGCTTAATGCTAGGCATTATACAGAGTGGGGTACGCGCGCTTGTCTACCAAGCGGGAACACTGACAGCTGCTTGCTGGTGTTAATTGAACGTAATTGGTAGATTGATTCAACATCTGTGAGTAAAAAAGCTCATTTGCAAAATATCGTACATTCAGCTATTATCCTACACATACTATCGTACAGTACTTGAAATTATCGTACGTCTGGCAACGCTGGTTGACAGTGACATTTGAGCACAAAACGGTAAGAAAGCACAGAACAAATAGTTTTGGTGTTGCCAGATTGAGCCACGTACTGGCTTTTGCTATAGCTCAAGCATATTAGAAAGCACTCATATAGCATTCACATTCCCAATAAGACGTGTCAGATTGCTCCTTACACCTTCAGAATTAACACTGAAATATCCGCTGGTTTTTTCTGAGCTAGCTGTCCAATATTTCCTAAAAGTCACAGTATTTGCTTATTTTAGTATCAATGAGGTTATAAAATAACAGGACTATCGTATGACGATTGTAGCGCTGGCAACGTTGCAGATAGATGTAGAATCTGAATTTCCAAAGTTCGACAGGCCATTGCGTTTTCGCAAACGAGAAACGAATTTCGCAAGGCACTAGGTGGAAAGTGCTGGATAATAAAAAAGACAACAAAAACGATAAGTTAGTTAGTTGTTAGGTAGTGGAAGAATCTCAAATTAGGCGTAAAGACAATGAATATCCTACGTTCACTAGTGCTGGTTTGCTGTGTCATAGCTGCATATTCCGGTAAGAACAATTCCATTATTAGGCTTATCATCTCGCTAGCTGGCAGAATGTCTGCATTCCCAAAGCATTAACGGTTATAAAACACACCTACTTTCCCGTCATTTAGCGGTAAAATCAACACGTACAGATTCTATTCTGTACAGATATCTTTTCGTTATGTTAAAAAACAATTATGCATTCCCAAATAGATAATATACATAGCTCGTACCATAATATTGCTTTGTTCGTACTGAACATATTGTCGCCTATCCTGTTTTCGACATGACCTTTTTGTATCAAATTACAAACTAAACAGTAATAAATATAGCATCATATGTTTTTCATTGTATCTTTGTATGTTTCTAATCCTATGCCACTCAATAGATATTATCCTGTACATACTATTTCATGTTTACTGTTATTATGTACAAGATAATTCAAGTATAGAATGTATGGTTATATATTATTTATATAAATGCATCAGTCATGCTTGGTGATATTGTGTAGATGTTTAATTTTTTGTTAGCATTCCAATATCAATTCAGTTCACAAACTTCCGCCTTTAGATATCTGGAGTATAATGGAAATTAACTGTTTTTTTATCTCAATTTATTGTAGATGTCTGTTGCAAGAATATATTTGTGAAATAATAAATATAGAAAGTAGTGGCCTTTGGTTTTATCTCATCTGGTCAAATAAACTATTTAATGAAATATCTGCATGATTTAGTATATCCAAATCAGTATCTAGGTACTTTCATTTAACAAATATATTTTTTAATATTGCTAGAATGAGCAATATATAGGATGTTTGAAAAATAGTTGGAGATATTTTAAAGGGTGATTCTTTGTTAAAAAATATGAAAAAGAGTTTCTACGAACATGGGTCCCAAAATGCAGAATTTTCAAGAATCAAGATTTCAAAATATTTTTTTATTAATATCATCAAGGGCATCAATGGTGATGATTTTCAACAATTCTTACATATGTCCAGTTTTAACAACAAACAACAATTTTTGATAGAAACAGGACTTCATAAATATAAGTATTTTTTGATGGCCATATTAGAATTTTAATTGTGTGTTGGAGTATTGTTATCAAGAAATTATATTTGATGTTTGTTTTTAGTCTCTCAAAAATAACATAATCTTTCGTAATAACGTCATAATGATGAAACTGACAAAAAATATATCTTTATTCATCCATTTATCAATAGTAGGTACATACACACTGATAAGAATTCCAAATAGTACAAGAAAAACAGACATAAAACTAAATCTAGATGTAAAAGTAATAGAGAGAAAAAATTCAAGTACAATGTCAATTATTGTTAGCACATTTGGTGTATTTTTTAATTCACCCGTTGAGCAACCGGTGCCACCGGTGGACCAGACATCTGTCCTTTTAATTCAACCGGTTGCTGCCATCACCATACAAAGCTGTCAACAGTGTCAACCATAAAGCACCACATCCATCAGTGGTGGAATCAACCGGTGAATTAAAGAATCCACCTATTTGTTTTAATTTTTGACAGAAGAGGTTAATTTCAATACAATCGTCATTGTATTTTTTGAGAACCTTCTCTATAAAAGGATTAGTGCCATAATCAGTCCTATGGAGAGTTGTATCATCTGGACTAAGTCTGTCTTCTTGGTGTTTGTAAATGAAGCAGTAATTCGGAAAATTGAATAACACTACCAATTTGAACAAGAAATACGTTTTATTGTTTTTCAAGACTTTCAATGCCTACTTGTTGTAATCAGTCATTATATAAAATCAAGGTTTGTACAGCGCAAATATTACAAACTGGTTTTGGCTCCAATTTTTTAAAGCAATAGTTGTTATATGGATTCCAAATAACACAATCGCATTCAGACTATCTTCTTGCAGCTGACAGTCCTCCAGCAACTCACAAAGACATTGCACCAGCACCGGTACAATTACCAGAGCATCTAGAACCTCCTCGTCCAGCTGCAGCAGACGACAATGTTCACCCAAAACCGCACCCCAAAAGTTCAACACTCCCTCCTACAACCCACGAACCTACTCCATCTTCACCTAAAACCAGCAGCTCCCCCGCACCCACTACAACACCAAAAAGTACCACGACTCCTTCCGTCACGCCTAAAACCAGCACAGCACCGCCTATTACACACCCCACCACACCTAAAACAACCGTGACTCCGCCCACAACCACCAAGGCCCCTCCCACGCCCGCTCCGGCGCCAAAACCGGAAGTAGGCAATTGGTCGGTGGGGTATCCGGACTCGAACAAGAGCTGTATCGTCATGATGGCCGAGATTCAGCTGGAACTGGTTTGGACGGAGAAGAACAAGACGATGAATCAGACCTGGGTGGTGCCCAAGAATGCCGAAGCTACTGGTAAATCGAGCAAATCGTTTGTTTTTACTTGCAAAAACAGGAAAATTTCGAAATTGAGCGCTAATTTTATAACCGCCTATAACTTGAGAAGTGCCGCTCGGATTTTGATGAAATTTTTATTCAGTTTTAGTACTATGCTAAGGACAAAAAGTTAGTTTTTGAAAACCGGTCTAGTGACGGCGAAGAAAAAGGCGAGAAACGGAAAAAAATGCGTAGGAAGTCCATCTACTTGACGCCATTCTTTGCATCGTTGTCGAGTTCCCGATCATCTCTGATCGACGCTGTACTTGACCTTACAAGATGGTGAATGTGCTATTAACTATAATCTAAGATAATTCAACGTCAACCATTTTTATCTCATAACCCTCAGGGTTAAGGAGGATGTGTCAATCGAGACGTTAGTTCAGGACGATGAGAATTGCAACAATTCAACCAATTTAACGAAAGTTCGATTTCCGCGATGAAATTGCGTGGTTCTTTATCGAGTGAATCTACTTGACGTTATTCTCTACTCTAGGTGCGTGCGGTAACGAGACTCAGTGGATTCTCCTGCAATGGGGCCAGAACAAGACCAGCCAGCTCCACCTGGATTTTGTTAAAACCAAAGATAAGAAATTTGAGGTGCAAAACGTTACCGCATCTATCAATGTCACCTTACCCGATCAAGGTAACTTGCATTCAATTTTCATTTTGCATGACTAATTTTTAATAGTGAATAGATATTTCATAACAGTTCATATTATGCTTTAGGAATGACAACAGATATGAATAGATCGTTTTTTTATGGATTATGTACAGCAAAAGTTATGACATAGATTTTGTCATAATGTTGTTGTTTCAAGGAGCCTAGGTTTAACTACAACCTTGGAAGAAAGAAGAATATACAGAAAATATAACAGGTCTTGAGATTTTTATTATCGCTTTTCATTTATCTAGTTTTCCAAATAAGGTTTGAAATAGTAACTCTTACTTACGAGAGTGGTCTGAAAAGTTTTCGACCTAACAGAGATAACGGGTGATTTTTTAAGAGGTATAGGATTTGATTTTCAAAAAAAAAACACAAAAACATTGAAAAAACGATTAAATCTTTATTTGAGTCGATAGAACGGTCGATATAATTTAATGTTTAAAGATTATTTCATGTAACATGGCCCCACAAGAAATAGTACAACGGCGTTAAATCACACGATCTAGGCGGCCAATTGACGGGCCCCAAACGTGAGATAAACTGTTCACCGAACTCGCCTCACAATAGGGCCATTGTTTCGTGTGCGGTGTGGCATGTGGCACCGTTTTGTTGAAACCACATGTCAGCCAAGTCCAGCTCTTCCATTTTGGGCAAAAAAAAGTTTGTTATCATCTCACGGTAGTGCTCGCCATTCACAGTTACGTTCCGGCCATTGTCGACTTTGAAGAAGTACGGCCCGATGATGCCACCGGCCCATAATCCACACCAAAGAGTGATTTTTTCGGGATGCATTGGTAGCTTTTGCAGTGCTTCTGGCTGGTCTTCACTCCAGATGCGGCAATTTTGCTTGTTAACGTACCCATTCAACCAGAAATGAGCTTCGTCGCTGAACACAATTTTTCGATAAAAATGTGGATCTTCCTCCAACTTTGCCAGCGCCCATTCACCAAATGGGAGGTCGTGTGGTTTCAATTCTTGCACCAGCTGTATCTTATAAGGTTTCACATCCAAATCCTGTCGCAAAATTTTCCACGTAGTCGAGGAACAGAGGCAAAATTGCTGCGAACGGCGGCGAATCGACATATCACGGTCATCACTAACACTGGCGGATACAGCCGCAATATTTTCTTCAGTCCTCACTCTACGTCTGCGTGTTGGCTTTTTAATGTTCAATAATGTAAACTGGGTTCGAAATTTAGTCACAAGCTTCCGAATAGCTCCCTCAGTAGGCCGACCAAATTGCCCATAAATTGGAAGCAGTGCTCGATGCACTCTCTTAACCGAGCATAAATTTTGATAGTAAAATTCAATAATTTGCAAGCGTTGTTCGTTCGTAAGTCGATTCATGGTTAAATTATAGACCAAACTGAACAAGTTTGACAATGACACAAGACACGATTCACGCGTCATCTGTCAAAAACAGTGTTGCCAAAAAGATACTAGCAAAAAAATCACCCATTACAAGACATATTTCTGATTATTTTTTATTTTTCAACATAGTCTTCTTGTAACTCTACACACTTTTCCCAGCGTTTCTCCCATCTTTGTAATCCGTCCAAATAGTACTCGGCGTTTTTCTCTGCAAATTTGTTGTTCACCAAGGTGATTTATCGAAAATCTTCGTCCTCCGAGGTCAATGTTTAGATGATGGAACAAAAAGAAGTCGCTTGGGGATAGATCTGGTTAGTAAGGTGGATGGTCAAGCAGTTCAAACCGTAATTCGTGGATTTTCGCTGTGGTAAACGCTGAGGTGCGAGACGGTGCGTTGGTGAAACAGGATTTTTCTGCAAATGTGGCCTTTTTTCCGCAAGCGCTGCCTTCAGCTTGTCAAGGAATGATGCGTATGATGTTCCTGTAATGTTTTTTTTTTTCTTTTTGAAGATAGTCGATTAAGAAAAACGCCCTTTAGAAATTATAGCAACATCTATCAGTGAATTGAAAAAATCAACCTCGAACTTATGACTTGCATCCTGTTAGATGGAAATGGTTTTTATTCAAATATACCTGTAGTAGAGGTTTCTCACATATCTAGAGCCAACTCAACCGTGTTTCACTGTACTAAACATTTAATCTTTCTTATTGTTGATGTTATTGCAATATTGAAATCACTGAATCATTCAACTGTACATTATTCCAAATGAGTGCTTCTGTTATTTCCTAAACATCATTAGGAAATGGTATTCCGCTGACATGCTGACTAGCACCACGTATTTCAATTCAGTAAAAAAAATATTTCACAAACGTTGGTTCTCTATCTTGGAAATTGTTATAGAAATGTATATCACGATTACTTTACTCAATATATCTGTATTGGCATCAATACTAAAATGGTACTATTAAAGTAATGAGGTATTTATCAACACATGCTGCTATTTGTCGCTGCATTTTATCATTCCATATTTTAATAAATAGTGGTTATTGCAGCAGTATTAGATTGAAGAGTTTTTGAAACAAATTTATTTTGTATTAAGGTCTACCAATGAATATAACTATAATTTCAAAAAAAATTAGTGGTATTTGTACATAGAAGCAATAGGTACGAATGCAATATTTCAGCTATATCTGAACCGTTACAGCTTGCCCTAAAAGTATCGTACATTTCTTTTAAATTTGAAATAAGCATTGTCAGAAATCGTGGTTATGAAAGCAACTGATATCAACACGTAAATAGTTGATATCTGTATTACTTTTCCTTTGGTTCTCGGTGTGTAATGATTCATAAGTTTATCTACAATGAACTGACAAGTTTGTTTCATAAAAGACGGTAATCAATCATAAATCCGAGGAAAAATATGACAGTATAGCCCAGTCTAATTTTTAATAAACATCGAGACATAGTGTGGAAACAGTGATAACCATTTTCTGATTGTTTTAGTATGTATAGTCTTGGGTGCCACTGTGGTTAACTACAGGCTAACTGGACAGTTTTTTTTTTCACTTTAAAGCTTGAAAACCATTTTTTGTCCAAAAAACATTATTTATTATCAAATGTCCAGTTATGAAATCACTCCACCAGTATGAGATCCGCTCCACTTGCTATAATTAAAACCATCCCTTCCATTATAATGTTTGGATAATTTTTCTGGAAAAAAATGTATATAAAACCTATAGGATTTGATTAAAGATTTTTGTACAAAGGGTACTATAAAAGTTTTGCAATACAGCTTTATTTATTGACGTTGCCTCCTGCGTCCGTTTATTGCAAAATTGTTATAGTACCGTTTGTATTTGTATAGGGGCACCCTGTACATTACCGTTTTTTTGTTTCAGGTCCAAATGTTTGGAATTTCTCGTTGGTCAACCAGACCGACTTCCCGACACCGCTGCAGATGTCTTACAAATGCATGAAGGAGCAGACGCTGAAATTGAAAGCTGATAAAACAAACTCGACCTTTGTCAATCTCAAACTGAGCCATGTGCAAATGCAAGCTTTCATGAACAGCACTAGTGATAAATTTGATTCAGGTAAGTACATTTTAAGATTTAGATTTTGTTCAATACAGCTGGCAGAAGATTGTTCAGTTTCTATGGTGTTTACTGCTGAAAAAACTCGGAATCATTCTCATAGTTCATTGTTAACTTTATTTGGTTATCAAAAAGTTCCTGAAATTGGAACATACGAGCCCCTTCCCACTTCAGTTGGCCCACTTCAAGATTTGTACCAAAATATGCCTTTATAAACTAAACATGACGAAACTATTTACTTGTAAAACAATTTATTTTCTCAAAAACATTTTAGAAACACTCTAGTCGTAAAAAATACATATTTGAAATCACTTAGACCTATAACTAATAGAACATCTGAACAAATAAACAATGTGCGAATAAATGCGCGAAGTTAACAAAGCAACAATTGAACGATTACCATTGAGTAACATCACCTTTATTTTTTATTACGGCTGAAATTCTTTGGAGCATAGTGTTAACCAAGTTTTGGCAAAAATTTGGTGTAAAACAATCCCATATTTCTTGAAGCTTTTGTCTCAGTTCGGTGTACGAGCAGAATGTTATTGTAGAACCTTTTTCATCTCGTGCCACAAAGTTTCAATAGGTGACAGATCTGGACTGCTAGAAACCCATTTCAAAAGTGGTACATTATTTTATTCCATCCATTTTATAGCCTTTTTTGAGGTATGGCATGCTGAACCATCTTGCTGAAACACAAAATCTTGGCCGGATGTAAAACATTCTTCCATCACTGGTAAAAGCGATTCTTCTAAAATTGCCAAATATTTGTTTGTATCCAAATTTCCATCAATAAAATGAAGTTTTCCTACTCCTTTTGATGACATACTCCCCGAGAGCATAATAGATGCTGGAAATTTCACTTTTCTCTTCAGACAGTCAACATGGAATGCTTCATTTTTTTGCGAATAACTCTACTGCGACTGTCACCAACACAAACTTCGAATCGGGCCTCATCACTCCATTGTATTGCACACCATTGTTGAGGTGTCCGTTGTCTATGTTCTTTAGCCCATCTAAGCCGATTTTTCTTTTGCAGTGGAGTTAATAGTGACTTTTCTTTGGCCTATAAACAATTTGTGCAACTTTAAGGTTTTTACTTCACTTTCTTTTATAAGACTTGCTATCAGGATCACAAAAACGCGAAGAGGTATATAAATAGTAATGCGCTCGATCTATGACACTCGCGTGAGTTGGGATACTTGGCATCTGTGCTCCTCATCGTTTCTGCAATCCTGATACAATTCTACAGGTTTCTGAAAATCGCTCTGTCGATCAGGCTTTCTTTGTGAAATTCGTAGATTGGACACTTGTTATCAGGTTCACAAAACGCGAGGAGGTATGAAAATAGTTGTTTGCTGTGAGATAAGAACGAGATTCAAATCCAGAGCATCGATACCTCTTGCCGTCTCTGCGATCCTGGTATAGATCTAAAAGTTTCTGAATACACTGGTGAACAAAATTGTGACATGGACAAAACAAGGTGGTTATTATGTAAAACGTACCCAAAAAGTCGGAAATAGCAATCGATTTATTCTATCACCCACGCTTTTCTTGCAATAAGGCATTTTATTTGCTGCGAATTCTCGTAAAATATAAGGATATGCGTGTAAGAGTACTAATAAACACTCGAATAAACATTAATCTCAAAATGTTGTTGTCGATGTTTTACGGCGCAATGTTGCTCCTGAAGTATCTCTTAACAACGTCCAGCAATAATCATCAAGCAAATTGACACTTCATTTGCCTTGATACCATTTTTTCATAGCAGAAATGTGGAACCGTTCACCATGTTCATCACTTACCGCACCTAAATTTTCCGGAAAAAAATCGAGATGAGAATCCAAAAAGTGAATTTTCAGACATGTTTGTTTTAAATGCAGAAACCCTCTTCCATTTCGATCCATAGCTTTCACAAAAATTTTTCATCGGTCCCAACTTAATATGCAAAGGTGGACGCAGCACGTTTTTCTGAACAACTAGTGCTTCATTGATTAATATACTTTTGGTCCAATACCTTTAATATTTGTGAGGCAAAAATAGCAATCAGTAGTATGGTCTCTCAGGACATTTTACGATTGTCGCCTCTTAACCAACCTGTTAACAACGTTACACAAGTCTTACAACATATATGAGGGGTCCATAGTTTATCTTGGTCGCCAACTTTAATTCCAAAATAAAGTTCGTGTGCTTTCAACACAAGGGGAGTAAAAGTAAGGTTTTGGGATTCAAAAGTTAGCTCTCCGCACACATAACAAAAACTGTTCGCATTATTTACACAATTTCTAGACATTGTCCATAAAGCTAGTCTCAGTCACAATAAACTAAAAACAACACACCGTTTTAACAAAAATTAACAGTACTCAAAACATCTCGGTACTCTTCAACGCAGAAAACGTAAAACTCGGCTGCTATTAGTCTACTGATAAACGCAACATGCTGTCTAAACATAGAGCTCGCATATAATAAACCGGAATAGACAGGTCTTAACATTATACAGGGTGTTTCAGTTTATTGTTGCATAACTTTAAGATTCGATAGAACTTTTAAAATTAATGCATAAAGTCTATATAAACATGGGTCGAAAGATGCGTGGCTTCCGAAATACAGGGTGTTTAAATTTACTTTTTAAAATAGTTTTTCTTAAATATTTCTAACAATATTTGTTGTATAACAGTGAAAATTGGTATACAAGGGTTTTTTGGTACGACAAAACGAACCATGGGCATAGTTTTACTGTAGCCGCTAGAGGGCGCTCTCTACTGTTTGTAACATTTTTTCTTAGTGCAATTTTTTGCTTTTTGAATAAAAAACTGATTCTTCGCACTTTTCTGCATAAAAAAGCTCTCCTGTGAGTTTTCGTTATAGTTAGCCGTTTTTGAGATATTTCGATTTTTAAGGTTCGATGCATTTTTAATTATTTATGGGAAAATAATATTTTTTTTTACATTTTCGATTTGGGCATTACAAGTAATTAAGATGATCGTTTAGATTGTGTTTTTAAACACAGCAATAATTCCTAACTCCAAATAAACTCAAAAAACAGAATATTAATTTGTTTAATTTTCCAATATTATTTTTAACAAATTAAATTAATTATTTACAACTAAAATGCTATTGGATAGTTAGGACAAACATACAAAATCTAAAGTAGTTGCTCGAAATGTAAACCCAATTGTTCGATCGTGGTATAGCATTATTCAAATAAGGCCTTATTTCATCACATGCATCTATCCGTCTATTAGCATATCTCTTGTGGTTACGGGAGTCTGGTACACTTTTTCTTTTAGAAATCCCCACACAAAGAAATCTAATGGATTTAGGTCAGGGGATCGTGGAGGCCAGTCGACTGGTCCTCCACGGCCGATCCATCTTTCTGGATAATTTTCGTCCAGCCAGTTTCCAACTATTCTCGAATAACGAGCTGGACAACCATCAAGCTGGAACCAGGCCAATCCTTACATCTAACATAATCATCATCCCACATTTTTGCATGTTCAGCTTTTAAAAATACTGATTTTTTAACGTTATTTTATCATATATAATTAAAAATGCATCGAACCTTAAAAATCGAAATATCTCAAAAACGGCTAACTATAACAAAAATTCACAAGAGAGCTTTTTTATGTTGAAAAGTGCGAAGAATCAGTTTTTTTATTCAAAAAGCAAAAAATTGCACTAAGAAAAATTTTTCGGTCATTTTAATACACTACAGGTACAGTAGAGAGCGCCCTCTAGCGGCTAAAGTAAAACTGTGCCCATGGTTCGTTTTGTCGTACCAAAAAACCCTTGTATACCAATTTTCACTGTTATACATCAAATATTGTTCGAAATATTTAAAAAAACCAATTTTAGAAAGTAAATTTAAACACCCTGTATTTCGGAAGCCACGCATTTTTCGATCTATGTTTATATAGACTGTATGCATTAATTTTGAAAGTTCTATCGAATCTTAAAGTTATGCAACAATAAACTGAAACACCCTGTATATGTGCGTCATCGCATAAACGCCGAGAAATGCAGCAATATGAGATGTTACGTAATTCATAAAAGTAGATGTTACCGAATATCTGTGGGTGATAGAAAAATTCTGTTTTTAAATTTGATTTAAGGGTCTCGAAATACATAAGATACACCCAAAAATTGTCATGTCACAAATCCTGTGTTTATCAGTGATATCGCACTATCGACCACAGCTTAATAATAAAATTTGTAGATTGGATTACATGACTAATAATTTAGGCGTTATTAGAATAAGGATACACAGTATTCCAGAGTAAAATTCCATTACTATGTAGGGTATTACATTACTAAATGATTTACAAACGCACTTCTGAATGTGTTTGTTGCAATAAACTGGATTGAATCCACGCTTTTAACCATGTTTAAATCTCGAATATTAGTCCAGAATGACCGAAAATAGTCACTCACTCATATTTTTTACCTTCCAGCTCTTGACTGCGAGGGATCGGTGGTGAACGACACAGTACCGATCGTTGTGGGCAGCATCCTGATAGTGATGATCCTGATGATCCTTGCGGCGTACCTGCTGAGCAGAAGACGGTGCCAGGCGCGCGGCTACCTCTCAATGTGAGTCACCACATAATCACACTCCTCCTCTTCCTCCAAGTCAAACAGTCTTTTTGGCCTACAGTGATACGTTAGCCTCCTTTGCGTCTCGTCCCAGGGTGTTCATTTGTTACATTTCAGCTGTTTTATTGTAAGAATCTGATACATACCAAGGTTTAAGATCAGACGTTTATCTATCATGCATGGCTAGATAAATTATAGATCAGCTTATAATAACCGAATGTGGCACTAAAGTAACTTGCCATAGTAATGATTGTATTATTCTTTCAAGATATGTATCATAAGCCCTAACTTGCCATTTAAAGATGTGAGGTGCGAGCGTGTTAAAGAACCCCGCAGTTTTCTTGTGGAAAATTGTTTTTTGTTCTATTAGTTGAAATTCGGCATAGAGGTAGTTTTCGATATGGCGATCAAATGTTCTAATGGGTCCAACCCTCTGAAACACCTCCCAAGCCCCTACAGAACCCAGGAGCTATTGATACGGGAAGACAATACTTTTTATCTACATATATTTTTCACGCTCAGCAGTACCCATCGCTCTATTATTTCTAGATTCAAAAAACATTCCTTATTTCGAAAATCTATGCTTACTGCTCTCTAAAGATAGAATGATCTCTATCTCTGTATCTTTTGGTATCGAAACGGCGATCTGGCTATGAAAACGAATTTCGAATGGATGTATTGTATGGTTATCCATTTAGGTCGGACGGAACGCTGAACGCCGGACGCCTCATATGTTAAAATTACATACAAAGTACGCTGAAAAACATAACCCTACTTCCGATGCAGTCGGGTAATGAATGTTAAAATTTTGAACACTCTGTATGAGACGCATCGGTAGATTTCCGCTACCACTCCAAAGTTCGCAATAGGGGAGGCGACGTTGCTTAAATGTGGTGGAGCTAATCTCGAAGGGAAGTGTATTTCAAAAATTGTCTCTGATAGGGAAAGTAAGGAAATTTTGTCAAGTCCTTGGATTATGCGCAGGGTAAAATTTTTGTTTTGGTTTCTGAAGGTTATGAAGCGGTTTATGAGCAAATATCACGGAAGTTTTACAACAATTAGATGAAATTAACCTCCTTGTATATGGAATTACGAGAAGGATTTATAAAAGAGTGGATTATTCATAGTTTTCATAACGGAACATTTTTCCAACGGTTTAGGACCAATAAAGGACTTGTTCTTTTGTCTCCAAGTGAGAGCATGTTGTTTTGTTTTCTATTATACGTTTATTTTCGGCAACAAAGATTTTTCTTGTACGGAAAAATTGGGTTTTTTTTAGCAGCAGAACTCATAATTAACACAAATCTGTGATAACGAATATTTTACATATTGGGATTTTTGACATGGAGATATGACAGCACAGAAGTAGAAACCTCATGATTGCAAAGTCAATTCAATCTAAGGTGTACCTTAAAGATAAGCTTCACTTTGCTAAGTGGAATGTTCGAGGAAGGACGTGACAGAATTACCTGATTTCCTCTACATCAATCTTGATGCAAACATTTCGAGAACCATGAAAATCCTATTGCAAAATTTCGGTTAATTTTTCTATAACTTCCCTTTTTGAGATTAGCAACAACTATGAGGTGTTAAATTGTATACATTTTTTTTTTGTTTAGCTTTATGTGCTGGTTTTCTTTTGTGTTTTGAGACAAGTTTATCAGCCTCAATTTTATAGTTTATCCTACGTTTTGCTCAGCTGATGTTTATATGAATATTGTGCTGATAAGCCCGTCTTCTATTGTAGTTTCAATTGTCTTAATATATTTTTTCGGGATTTCTTTGATTTTTTAGTAATTCTGACCCTTGTCCCTCTAACTAATACGTCATTGCATTATTAACACACAAAAAAACAGGCTATTCAACCAGATTTATGAGGCTTAATTTGTTGCTTAAATTCAAGTGTATCATAATGCCTAATCTATACGTAATCATTGAATGTAGATCTAATATTAGGTAATGCATATAGCTCATGTGTTTAGTTAGTTCGGTGTCAGTTTTATGCATCATTGATCAGACTTTTCAACATAGTTGAAAACAACTTCTTTACAATACCTTTGGACTTTATATTCATCGGAAACATCGCGTTCAAAAAATAGTTTTAATATTGTTTTTTACCAAGTGCAATTTGCTTTGAAAAACATGATAATTAACTTAGACTAAATGTAAAGTGTCTTAAACTTAGTTGTTAGTTAAATAAATGAAAATAAGGGACTGCTAATTGGGATATAAGCAATTCGATATCATATATTACAATCTTTGATAATTTTTTTTTTTGATGTGGGTGCTAGAAAGTATTTTAATGAGTAAGAGTTGAAAAATAAGGCCTGTAATTTGAACAATATTCTATTAATAAGGCGAAATACATTTACATTTTACGCCTGCACAAATACACATCAACTTTTTTTTGTGGCCATTCGTCATAGTTATTCAGAGGGTTTTTCTTTTCAGCGTTCATAGATTCTGATATAACTGACGTGCAAACCTTTCTTTAACGGCATAAAAATATTTTTTTGACATTCTTTTTGTAGAAGTAAATGACGATGAAATAATAATATTGGAGGAAGCTTTAAATATATATTCAAGTAACAAAAAAAAATCATAAAGAATATTCAAAAATGAAGCACCGCAGCATTTTTCTCGAAACGCTATTTTCTTTAGCATATCGCTAACAAATATCTTTTCACTGAAATTATTCACAGTATCTTGAAAATAAACTCAATTCACAAACTCATCAACCATAAAAAAATCGATATTTTAAAAATCACGTATTTCTTTAGCAATAAACATTAATAGGTTGTTTTTAATTTTTCCTGCTCAGCAGCAACATTGTGCATACGATTCTGTCATTCACAAAAATCGTCGCGGTTCATGAATTTTTAAATATTTTTTTAAAATTTAAAATTATTTTGTTACTTCACTATATCCTCCATTATTTCCTCCAATACTATTATTTTGTTTGCCGTTATAACGGTAAAGTGCGGTAAATAATTTTCCGAGTAGTTTATTAATAAAAAACAAATATTTTTAAATCATACACACCAGAGAAGAAGTTTCTGTACCCTGGCTTATTGTACTCTTTGTTAATCTGCTTGCTACTGAATTGTGTAGAGTGTTTGTCTCAAATTTCCTATTCTGTGATATGTTGTGCTTTGTACGCCGTGTCACAGAATAGGTTTATTTTTTGTGTGATATACTTTGACTATTAAAAACACGAGGCTTTAAAGAAAAAACTGACAGTTCACTGGATATTGTACGGAATTTTCATGACACAATATCTGACAGCTTCTTTCTAAAAAACGTAAAATTTGCTAGGCATGGGCTTATATTAACATATCCTATTTGAAGATAGTCATCGTAATATTGTAGTCCCGCGTCCAAAAATGCTCAGAAATAAAATAAGATATCGTCGCGTCATCTACGAGAATTTGTCATAACTATGCATGTAATCCAAACATCGGTTGTTTGTTTTTATTTACGCCTATATTTCTACAGAAAGCCACCATTGACCTTATTTTAAACGTATGCGCTATAAAATTACGAGTATTATTTAATAAAAAATGGAAAAAATACGCGGTAAATTTAAAATGTCTAAACGCAACGGTAATGACGTGGGCAGCCACACCTTGTTTTCAGTCATTGATCGCCAACCTATCAGTTTGATCAGTCCCCAAAAATTGGCAGCAAACTTGTTGCCGACAAGAGGTCAATTTTGCCTCACAGACAACGTCGGAAAAACAACAAACAAAAGAAAAAACCTTCCAAATCTTCTCAGCAAATTAACCAAACAAAAACGACAGAACATGAGTTGTGACGTCACTGTGAAGAGCGCGGAAAATGCTGCGTTTAAATAAATATTTAATTAAAACAAAATACAGACATTTCCATGAATGGAATATGTGTTAACGAAAGTAATCGGCATTCACAAAAATAAGAAGCTTATTTCCTATTAGGAATGTACTGAACAGGTCAGTTATAGATGCCGCTATATGCCCATATAGTTAAGCTACAGCACCATCTCTGGGACTTTAATTTATAACTATATATAACACATAGTTGTGACAAACTCTCATAGACGACTCCAAGATATCTAATGTCGGTTAATTTCTTAGGCGCGATTTGTGACTTGTTCTACAACAAACGAGTATTCCTGTCCACATATTTCTATCCTTACTTGTTAAGTATGCTTCACGTTTTAACGTTTGATTAGCACTTCATTGATAGTGGATAGTGTAGTGCAAAAAAGGCATTATAACGGTTGACTAAACTCAGTTTCGTGTCTGAAAAGCCTCGTTTTTTTTCGTAAGTCCTAATTTTAATCGGTCCTGTTTGTTTTAGATAACATCAGAGGACCTAAGTATGATTATCTACTCTGGTGTGTCATGCAAAATAAATTCATTGTTTCGACTTCTGTCATTTCAACATCTTCTGTATAAAGTTTGTACATTATTTCACGAAGTTCAGAAATATTCATTGGTTTGATGATGTTTTTCAATCATTGTTATATTCGGATTCGATAAAAACGTGGTAAAGGCTGTGAAAGCTGTAAACTTGTGTATTTGCGCAAGATTGTAATTATTTTAGAAGAATAAATAATGTGGGATAAATTTTGTGTTTTTTTTTTATTTCCTCACCTCCCCCATATTGCAGGCTTTTGGAGTGATGCTTGATATTATTGAGTTTGGGAGGCGATTTGTACCAAATTTGCATCAAATTCTGACGTTTTAAATTGCAGATGATTAGTAGATGTCATGCAGCCAAAACTTCAGTATAATATATTAAGTGACATATAAATCCGAACACCCAGTTTAAATGGTTTTATTTTAATAAAATTTTGTTTAAGTACTTAATGAAGCATAATAAGTAAATGATACAAATTTCAAAATGATTGCACTGCTTTAAAGCCCTTTGACCATTAATAATGTGTGGATGCACCCTGATGTGCTACGCATTCTCCAACGCGCCTAGGCATGCTTCTGATCAGGTGGTCAATGTCCTCCTGTGGTATATCATTCCAGGCAACCACCAACTCCTATCGAAGTGCTTCTAGAGCCTGAGGAGGACGTTGCAAATTGAGCAATCTCCTACCTATCATATCCCACACGTGCTCAATTGGGGATAAGTCGGGAGATCTTGGTGGCCATGGTAACAATGTGACATCATTATGTTGAAAGAAGTCAGGGTGACTCTTGCAACATGTGGTCGGGCATTATCTTGTTGGAAAGTTGGATCTGCCAGGGTGTCAAGATAGGGTAAAAGATGGGGTTCTAGAACTTCGTGGATATAACGCTGCGCGTTCATGTTACCTCTGATGAAGATTAAAGGTGACCTGGAACCATAAGCTATAGCACCCCAAACCATAACTCTAACAGTGTGATGAACATGTCTTTCAACAAAAAACTGTGGATTCCTCCTTTCACCACGTCGCCTTCTAACCCTTACACCGACGTAATCGCCTTGAGTGGTGCAGACAACGGTCACTCTGGGATCAGGAATGGAACAGTATTGTCTTTAGTGACGAGTCTCGATTTTGTTTAGGCATGCACGATGGTAGTGCCAGGGTTAGAAGGCGACGTGGTGAAAGGAGGAATCCACAGTTTTTTGTTGAAAGACATGTTCATCACACTGTTGGAGTTATGGTTTGGGGTGCTATAGCTTATGGTTCCAGGTCACCTTTAATCTTCATCAGAGGTAACATGAACGCGCAGCGTTATATCCACGAAGTTCTAGAACCCTATCTTGACACCCTGGCAGATCCAACTTTCCAACAAGATAATGCCCGACCACATGTTGCAAGAGTCACAATAGACTTCTTTCAACATAATGATGTCACATTGTTACCATGGCCACCAAGATCTCCCGACTTATCCCCAATTGAGCACGTGTGGGATATAATGGGTAGGAGATTGCTCAATTTGCAACGTCCTCCTCAGACTCTAGAAGCACTTCGAGAGGAGTTGGTGGTTGCCTGGAATGAGATACCACAGGAGGACATTGACCACCTGATCAGAAGCATGCCTAGGCGCGTTGGAGAATGCGTAGCACATCAGGGTGCATCCACACATTATTACAGGTCAAAGGGCTTTAAAGCAGTGCAATCATTTTGAAATTTTTATCATTTACTTATTATGCTTCATTAAGTACTTATACAAAATTTTATTAAAATAAAACCATTAAAACTGGCTGTTCGGATTTATACGTATATGTCACTTAGTATAATTGATCTGTGGTTTCATTTATTTTAAAATTTATCATCAGTTGATAATGGATAAGGTTCAGCGTAAAATGCAGGGTACTTATTGACTTTTCGGCTTCATTGCTGTAGCTATAACAGTTGTCAAATTTAAGCGTTAAAGTGTCCAATTTGAAAACAAAACCCTGAAATGTGTTATATCAAATTGTTTCATTTTAAAGGGCCTATCCAAATCTGTAATAAAAAGTAGATCTTTCCAGTAAAAAAATGTATGTTTGGGTCACCTCGTAACCACCCTGTAAAGATAAAAATATTTTCCAAATTAGGACTAAACTGTTGGCTACAATTTTTGTAATTAACTTGTGTAAAGTTGAAGCTTGTTCATATGTAGTTCGTGAATAATGCTGTTTTGAAGAGAACAGAGACTAAAACAGAGAAATTAAACGCCTACCAATTTTTTACCCAAAAAAAAAAAATAAAAAAGGCTCTTCGGGAACGCCAAAAAACGAAGTTTGAGCAATTTTTATTTTTTTGACTTTTTCTTCGCTGAAGCTGGACCGATTTTCAAAAACTGGGCTAGGTGATAGTAGCATACTTCCTATTTTTAACCCTCTGTAACAGCTGAAAGAAGAAAGTACCTTAGGAGTTCTAGTAAGTGAAAAATAGTGGCATGGACTCGGTACAAAGATCTTTGATTACTCTTAAACATTTTCAGAAAATTGTAACGCATATAAAGACACACTTTGGGATGATCTGAAATTTCTCTTCATTTTTACTCATAACGCTGTTGTGATTCACACCCTTTCCACCTACTATGGATTACGTGATTGCGTGTTGTAGACAACGCAAAACGAAACATATTTATGAATTTCTAAAATTTTCACATTTACAAAATCTTCAAATTTTATCCTCCGTTTCGGATTCGCCACAGTTGGGTGATGTCCCCTATATTTTTGATATGGGGCCCCTCAGAAGCAAGCTACGTCACTGTACACTATACTATACTAAGTGACATATAAATCCGAACACCCAGTTTAAATGGTTTTATTTTAATAAAATTTTGTATAAGTACTTAATGAAGCATAATAAGTAAATGATAAAAATTTCAAAATGATTGCACTGCTTTAAAGCCCTTTGACCTTTAATAATGTGTGGATGCACCCTGATGTGCTACGCATTCTCCAACGCGCCTAGGCATGCTTCAATGTCCTCCTGTGGTATCTCATTCCAGGCAACCACCAACTCCTCTCGAAGTGCTTCTAGAGTCTGAGGAGGACGTTGCAAATTGAGCAGTCTCCTACCCATCATATCCCACACGTGCTCAATTGGAGATAAGTCGGGAGATCTTGGTGGCCATGGTAACAATGTGACATCATTATGTTGAAAGAAGTCTATTGTGACTCTTGCAACAGGTGGTCGAGCATTATCTTGTTGGAAATTTGGATCTGCCAGGGTGTCAAGATAGGGTAAAAGATGGGGTTCTAGAACTTCGAGGATATAAAGCTGCGCGTTCATGTTACCTCTGATGAAGATTAAAGGTGACCTGGAACCATAAGCTATAGCACCCCAAACCATAACTCCAACAGTGTGATGAACATGTCTTTCAACAAAAAACTGTGGATTCCTCCTTTCACCACGTCGCCTTCTAACCCTGGCACGACCATCGTGCATGCCTAAACAAAATCGAGACTCGTCACTAAAGACAATACTGTTCCATTCCTGATCCCAGAGTGACCGTTGTCTGCACCACTCAAGGCGATTACGTCGGTGTTCTCGAGTTAAAGGGAGGACCCAGTGTGGCCGGTATGAAAACAAGCCAAAACTTCTCATACGTCGGTAAACACTTCGCATGCCAATAGGTCTTCCGTGTTCTGCAAAACCATTCATTTGCAACCGACCTGGTAGTGGAGAAACGGTCCCTTAAGGCCAATAATCTTAGGCGGCGATCTTCACGGTCTGTTGTTCTACGGCGGCGTCCAGTGCCCCTTGCTCTTTGCGGACGGCCTTCTCGAAACCATGCCTGACAACACCTAACCACAGTGTCTACACTTCTTTGCACTCTAACTGCAATTGCCCGAAAAGAAAGTCCAGCTTCCCGAAGTCCGACTATACGGCCCCTATCAAACTCACTAAGTTGACGAAATCGTACAGGTCTCCGTACTCTAGGCATCGTAACCGATCGTAAAGGATGTCAAGAACCAAAATCCGCCAACGTTGATTCTTTACTGCGGCTGAAATATTCATTTTTAGAGCGTTAGCGAATTAAAAAAAAGCAGTATAAAAACCGGAATGTCCAACTGATAAGGCTGAACATTTTTTCACTTGTTATTTACAGTAAGATAAATACATTCACCAACTTTTATTAAAATAAAACCATTTAAACTGGGTGTTCGGATTTATATGTCACTTAGTATATATATACTAACAACTTCTGTTTTCATACTTGTCGTGGGAGCGTTTAACCCAGTTTTTTCGTTCGCCTTTCAAATAATTTGCAAATTCCATGAGGCAGAATTTGATTTGGTCCTTTCAATTCGTAATATTTTCTGCTTTCGGTATAAATTTATTTTGAATATTTATTCATTTTCAGGTTTGCCGAAAAAAGGGAGTCGGACTATATACCTATGAAAAATTTATCATGTTTTTCGTAAAGCGAAAAACAATAGGTGACATTTTCGCTAGAGCGAAACTGACAATACTTCGAAAAAAGTAGTACAATAATTTATCGCTTATGAAATTCGGAGATCGTATATTGTATCATTTTTTACAATAATAAATGCTACAGTAATAAAAAATAGATGAGATCCGAAAATTTAAAGTGCTTATGTTAGAGCATCAGTATTTTTTACAAGAAGTCAGTCACTGTGGGCGAAGTTATTATTTCAGTATATTTTTCAGTAATACTGTGTCTCCGTCCATATTGACAAGAATTGTTGATAACAGCCTCATCTTGTTAATTGCGCTTAAAAATAGCAAAAAAGATCACAAACAACGCGCTCAAATGTTATGTACTTAAAGTTCCTACGTTCAAGACTTTCATTTTGTGTTCTCGATTGTTATTTTCGTTTGTGTAGTTTAGATTACTTCAAGTATTTTTTTGACTATTGTGTGACGTTAGTGCATTCGTTTTTATTGTTAGTATAACACCCTCTAAGAGCTTCTGTTATTACGTTATATAAAACTGTTTTTAAAATGTGATATACTTAGGTATTATCAAGTATACGAATGCGATTTTGTTTTCATCATACAACAGGAACGAATATTTTATTTGTTTTTATGTTTTATAGTGAATCCATTTGCGTATATATACGCTCCACATATCAAATAATAGTATTATACATTTATTTGTAGCTACTGGGATTGATGTGTTGTTAATCTGTTGTAATTGCAGTGCCTATAGTATTGTAGTTTGCTGATAGTATGAAATAGGATAATATGAAAATATGCCTTATATAGCATATGCTTGTTAAACCGTCCCTAAAATTTTACAGATCTGAATATATTAAGTGAGTCTAAGGAAATGTGATATATGTAAGATCTATGGACCTAATATTGAGTTCAAACTACGTTATGGGGAGCTATTGTAATCAATTTATTTCTGTACCAATTCATAGTGACTCAATAAACGTACCAGATGGTACTCTATGAATAACAGTTTCATTTTAGATAATGTAGGAGTTTGCAGCAAGAAATTTAGCTGGCGGTAGTCTCTATATTGCATCAAATAATAAAGGTTTATAATAATACTATCCCATTAATTGCTTTAAGATTTTGTTAATGGATGTTTGAAGAACTATGGCGACATTAAAATTTTTGTTTTTTTTCATATTTTTTTGGGATCGAAAATGGCATATTTTGTTTTCAAATATTGAATCACCGATATCTTGAAAACTATACTTTTCAGAGAAAGGTCCATATGAACATTTTTTGTTCAGAATGATCCAAAAAATCGGAAAAAAACGTTCTAATGGAACAAATGTTATAGAATTTGTTTTCAAATATTGAATCACCGATATCTTGAAAACTATACTTTTCAGAGAAAGGTCCATATGAACATTTTTTGTTCAGAATGATCCAAAAAATCGGAAAAAAACGTTCTAATGGAACAAATGTTATAGAATTTGTTTTCAAATATTGAATCACCGATATCTTGAAAACTATACTTTTCAGAGAAAGGTCCATATGAACATTTTTTGTTCAGAATGATCCAAAAAATCGGAAAAAAACGTTCTAATGGAACAAATGTTATAGAATTTGTTTGAAAACGTTTAAACAATTCTTAATGCTATTTAGTGCCTGTCTTTTTGCATTAAATTGTGCCAAAAACAGAATCAGAATATACAGGGCGTCCCAGAAATAACACGCCAGAATGACATGGGAGGTAGATTATACAGGGTTATCCAAATTAAGTGTCCACCATTAGTAACTTTGTTATTAGTGAAAATACAAAGTTGTTTGAATTAGCAAACTAGTAGCATTTTTAACGCTGGTAAAAATGAGAAATAAAAAAAAACAATTGAGAGTCGTTATTTTGATTTTTTTCAGTAAAATAACATTTTTTTAAATGGAAACCCCTGTATATTATATTTTTTTCTGTTAAAGCATCAAATTTTAAACAAAAAAGTTCATAATGACTTTTCCGCTAAAGTCAAAATAACGATAAATATTTTTAATTATTTGCAGTATTATAATATTAAGACGGCTATGAAAACAACATGGCGTTCGCGATTTGACAGCATTAAGATAAGCGACAAATTGTTAAACTGGACATACTCGCAACTAGAAGGCTTTGGAAAACAATGATAAAATCAAATAATGTCAAACATTAGTGTAAATACTTGTTTATAAGCTTTATTGTGTCATTAATTTAAAGAAAAATGTTGTCCCATGAAGAAAAGTGTGATATTTTAGAATGCTATTTAGTGTGCAGAAAATCCTCCTTGAGAGCAAGAGAATACTACAGTGAATTATATCCCGCTCGCATTCAACCGTATGAACGATATTTTCTGAGACTTTATCGAAAATTTAGGGGCAACGAAAATGTTTTTGCTAAAACAAGGGCAAAAAAAGAATTCATAATAAGCGAGGCCACGGAAATTGCAGTTATTGGATATTTTGAAGCTTATCGTGAGAATTCAATAGCAGATATTCTCAAGGACTCTAATTTCAGTTATGGTACTGTTCAAAGGATTTTAAAAAAATACAAATTTATTCCGTATAAGTACCGACCAGTTCAAACGCTTTTGGTAGGGGATCCAGAGAGAAGACTTGTTTTTTGCCATTGGTATCTTAGCTTCTGTCGCCAAAATGTAAATAACTTTCGTTACCTTTTATGGACAGATGAATCAAATTTTTCAAATTCTGGAATGTTTAATAGAAAAAACCACCATTATTGGTCAAGAGAAAATCTTTTGTTAGTACATCCAAGAGGCCCACAAGTCCGTTTCAGTTTCAACGTTTGGTGCGGTATAATTGGTTCAAAAATTGTTGGCCCGTTCTTTTATGAGGGAACCCTAACTGGTGAAAGATATGTGGAATTTATGTCAGAAATTCTGACTAATTTCTTAGACGAATTGGATCTTATAAGTAGACATCATCTGCATTTTCAGCAAGATGGCGCACCTGCCCACAACTCCAGATGTACTTATCATTTTCTAAGTACTACTTTTAATGATCAGTGGATAGGAACAAATGGCCCAATACAGTGGCCTCCCAGATCACCAGATCTAAACCCACTTGATTACTTCTTGTGGGGTTACTTAAAGAACCAAATTTACAAGCGAAGGTACGATAACCTTGACGCGTTAAAGACTGCAGTTAGGGAAAAGATAACCCAGATAGATGGTAGGACCATACTTAAGACAGTTCGAGCAGTTGAAAAACGTGCCCAAAAATGTATTGAAGAACAAGGTGGTGTTTTCGAGCATCTTCTTTAAAAAAAATTGTTATTGTATTTTGTAAGATTATAAGTTGATGTTGAAAATAAAGTTTGTCGATACAATTTAATTGTTTCAGATTGGAGGCCATAACTTCAACAATTTGTAACCTAGGAGAAAAGTTATTGTAAGCTTTTTTGTTTAAAATTTGATGCTTTAACAGAAAAAAATATAATATACAGGGGTTTCCATTTAAAAAAATGTTATTTTACTGAAAAAAATCAAAATAACGACTCTCAATTGTTTTTCTTTATTTCTCATTTTTACCAGCGTTAAAAATGCTACTAGTTTGCTAATTCAAACAACTTTGTATTTTCACTAATAACAAAGTTACTGATGGTGGACACTTAATTTGGATAACCCTGTATACCTGTATATCGCCACTTTGTTTTTTTTTAAAAATCCATACTTTTTGCTTCTTTATTTGCCAGTTATGGCTATAAGGAACTTCTAACTTATGTTTTTTCCTAAAAATCCCTGGTACTTAATTTTTTAATTTTATTTGGTAATCTTAAATCTCTGGAACACGTTGTGCTTCAACGTTGGATTAATTGAAATAACACTATATAACGTAAAAGAATAGTGTATTGATACTTTTTTAACATTGGAAATAATACAAAATGCATTTTAACTTATTACCTATATTATTCTTTATATATGATATCAATAAATACATCACATACAAACATTCATCACTAAAACAATTTGCAATAATCTGCAATAATCATTTTTCTTAAAGGAATATTACGTGTTCAAGCCCATACACAATTTAATTTTAACAGTAGGAAAAGCATATAGATAGGACGAACCTTGGAATTTCTAATTTCAGTGTAAATATACTTCTATAAATCAGCTTTTTATTGTAAAAGTGAGATAAACATGGGATATCACAAGCTATCGATATCAATTGGAAAACTATTACTAGAGAAATAGGTGTTTTTGGTATGCATGTTACAGAACAGCACCTCGGGCTTCCAGGTTATATCAAACAAAAATTGTTTAAACCTATGGTGAGAAGCTATGCTAGATTATAGCATCAAATTATTTCCATTTTGATAAAACCTACCGAAAACTTATAGCTACTTAGCTTGTAATATCTCGATATTCAAATGACTACATCAACTCTCCAATATGAAAACCTTAATTTTATTTGCACAGTGATACTACAATCACTATTATGGTCTCTGCCCACTATACTAATCAGTATTCCATTCAAAAGTACCTTTTTTAAAAAATTAAATTTGTCAGGTTTATTTATCAAACAAAGAAACCTAAATGGCATTCGTTTTTAGAAAATTATTTTTGTCAAATGTTGGACAACTTGATTTATTTTGGAATTGCAAATTTTCTAATTAGACAACGTTTCGAGAAACTTTTAGTTTTATCTTGAGTTTATTTTCCAAAATGTTGGAGTGCCCGATTACAAATAATATTTAGACGAAACTCATTTTGCGTCTGAACAATCGGCGACGTTTTTTCGTGTTTATATGTAAAAAATTGCACATTTCCATAATTTCAAATTGTAGAGTGAAAATAATGTGAAGACCGCTTGAAGACCTTGAAAATAGCATCAGTCTGAAAGTACTCAAAATTTCTATTCATATAATAAATATACACTTATAATAAAGTCTCCAAAGTCCTTCCTGTTTCTTGACAAATCGCAAAGAAACGTTTCTTTCAATATACTTTGTGACCCGTCACAAAATAAACATTTCTAGATACGACTCGGAACCATGATTAAAGCTTTAAAACGGGTTTTAAATGTTGAAAAAAAAAATCTAGAGGTGTCAAATCACCACGCGATCCAAGTGCTTAAACCATGGTTCCCAAAAGAGAAATTAGCAGGCGATGAGTCAGCACCAGCGAAGACACTATAGTCCAGTCGACATGGTCATAAATTTTGTAATAAATTAGTTGCAAGTGTTTTAATAAATTGATGTTATATTTGCTTCAAATAATAGTAAAAACGGTGTTTTTGTTACAATACCAAATGTTTTGAAGAATATTAGCTTGAAGTTTAAGCAGCCAAATACCATTCAAAAATGCTCGATCGCGTTAACGAAATTCTAGAATAGACCGCAAAGCTGCTGATATTTGGAAGAAACAATCTTCAAAAACTGAATGTCAGGAACGCTTTTTCTGGATAGCAAAGAGACTCCGGTATAGTTGATTGTGTTTATGTCTTCTTTAAAAAAAAAGTGCCTCCAAATGAATGACCTGTTATTGTATGGTGCAGTGGGCGAAGACCTTTACAGACTATTTGATCCAACACCCCCGAAAACTTCGTGTGAAACAGCACAAAACAGCTGTCATGCTAAGCACTGTACAACTTCGTGAAAATGTAAATTCTACGTGCAAATAAATTTTAATTTTAAAAAATCCTTATCTAAAAAATAGTACTAAATAAAACGAAATGTATATAGAGTTTTTTATCTCCCACAGCAATATAAAACTTCTAAATTATGGTATAAGTAAAATACCGTTTTTTTGTAAATAAAAGGATGCTAAGAGAATGTGTTACGTACGTGAAAAGTTTGAAATTGAAGTAAAATTTCTGATATTGCATGTCAGTTCATCCAACTCTCTAGTACTTCAAGAAATCACATTGATGTTTAATAAAAGTATAATATATTTATTATCCTACCTGTACAATCATCAAGAAACCAGAAGAACACCTGAGGAACGTAAATGTGAATGAATTTTCGCCTCATTTTAGTTTGTACCAGCTTCATTTTTTTATAATTTCCATGATATTATCTTCTATATTTTAATGAAACTTGATACATGGCAACTACGCACTTTTTTAAATAATTTTAAAGGAAAGTGTGATTGGCCTTTGCGTTTTTCGTGATATTTTTTCACGATCACCATTCAGTTCTTAGCAAATCTGATCTCTTGATTCGTAAATCGTTGAAAACTAAATCAACAGTTTACTTTCGCTCAGAAGTGAATAATTATAAAAATATTTTTCTTGCAAGTTAAAGCAATGTTGTAACATAGTTTCCTCCAAAACTATTAAGCTCCAATCCGAAATTTCACCACTATGTATTTCAAAATTAAACAAAAATAGTTTACCTTTGTCTTGAAGCACCTTGTATGTTGAGGCTTCTCGATGCGAGGCTAGATGCTATAATACTGAACCAACGGAGCAATACCAGCCAGCGGTATCAAAAAAATCAAAAAATACTGAAAGATAACCCTCGCTTCATCACGTACGTAACATAATCAACTGTACACACGCTGGTTTCTCAATAATCCCCCCTTGTATCTCCAAGTTTAGCAAGCGCAGTTATCCCTGCCCGATTGGTCACCACCTGCAGCGCTGCCCGGTCTACCGCCAGGTTGCGACGGTTTGTGCTGAACGCCTGATTCCGCGGCGTTCAGATCCAACCTGCCGTCCTGGATCGATTGGTAGATTTTCTTTGCCGTCTCCAAGAACGCTTCTTCCACGTTGTCGCCACTGAGGCAAAAACGAACCTTGGTCATTTGTCATTGAACAGTGAAATCAAATCGAAATAATAGTGAGGTTAATCCTGAAATATTGCTGTTTAAAATATGGCGCATTTAGTAGTATGTACTACTCATCTCTCAGAAACTGCTTCCTTCACAAAAACAAAGAGATAACATTTTAACAAAGGTAAACAGAAACAAACATAAAACGCCACAACAAGCTTTAAATATTATACAGGGTGACGGGAAAATAGAGGCGGAGCCGGTGGGGGGAGATAGTACAAGCCAATCTGAGTCGATTTTACTATAGGAAGTACTGTCCGAAAATTAGCAGTTTTCGAATTATACTAATTTTTAAGATTTTATAAAATTAACGTCCTTTATACGTTAACCAAGTCACAAAACTTGAAAATTGGGTGTTTCATTTGGTTTTACAATAAAAATATTCTAAAATACGAAAATTGATACTCAAATGTACATTATTGACGTTATCTGATGCAGGAAGCTACAAAATAGTTCAATTTTTGCTAAAAAAAATCTTCGTTCATCCCAAAAACTCAATTTACTAGAAACAATCACCTACAAATTTTTCGTGCAAAACGATTTTAAAATATCAACGTTTCATTACCTTTCAAATGAGGTATCAAAGTCACAAACCGGTTTAGTAATGACAAAGATATAATAATAATAATAATAATAATGCCTTTATTAACAGCAGTGAGGCGAAGTTTAGCCAGATGGCTACTCTTACACTCAACCCCACAACAGGAAAAAATAATACTTAAACACATAAAATAAACAAAATAATAACATACCAAAAAAAATAAAATACAATTCATAAGAATGACAACATTGATTGCACGAGATAAATGCAGATAGTATTGCGAGAGTTTTAAATTTGAAACAAAAATAGTAGAAAATAGTCAAACAAAAAAAAATAAAAAAAATCACATGAGCACAAGAAAAGCTGAACTAAATGGACTCCAGCAGCTGACTTTTCATTAATTTCTTAAAAGAAACAACCTGTTTGGATCGATAGCCACTGTTGACTGCATTGTAATGCTTGACAGCATTATAGGTGTAACTTCTTTCAAAGACCGAGGTATTGTGAGGAGGCATGTTAAAATTAGCATTAAATCTAAGAGCTCTGGTAACAAAACTACCACGGTGAACTAATTTGCTAGCGAGGTAAGCTGGTCTGTTAGATAGTAGAACTTTATGCGTGAAGATATAAAAATAACTTATCAATTCGCAACCAGTTGAGTTCTTTGATTTTATCCGAGACGCGACTAAACTTGCGCAATCCAAATATAAACCTACAACAGCTGCTCTGAATTTTCTGGAGTTTCCTTTTGTGGACGTAGTCTAAACATGGGTAATTCAGAACAAGGGAGTAAGAAATGACAGACAACACAAGACTTTCAGCGAGCTTTTTTCGGGTTTTAAAATTCAAGATGTATCGATTAGAATAGAGGAGTTTCAAACGCAAATACGTTACTCTAGATAAGAAAGAGACATGCCGATCGAATCTCATATTTAAATCAAGGGTAACACCGAGATTCTTGGCGTAATCCACAAAAGGGATGAGTGTCTCATCCAAAAAAACACAAATCCTCTGCTTCATTTCACGGTAGGAGTTCTTCGAACAGTAAAACATTGCAGTAGTTTTATTGGGATTGATCTTCAAGCAGTGTTTGTTACAGTAATCACCGATGTTAGCCAAATCTAAATTAACTTTAAAAGAAACTTCATCAACCTTTGATGGATCGAAACCAAACACTAACTGAGTATCATCTGCATAAGTTTGCATACTACAGTGGACTAAACAGTCTTGCAGATCGATCGTATAAATCAGATATAGTAAGGGACCTAATACTGAGCCCTGAGGAACTCCTGAAGGAACTGGGTCAGAGGAGGAAATTCCCTGATCAGTTTTCACTGTTTGTTGACGATTTAGCAAGTATGACTCAAAGAACCTTAGAACTATATCTGACATTCCATAATAAGATAACTTAGTAGTATCTGGTGATTGACCATATCAAAGGCTTTCGAGAAATCTAACAGATGTGTTTGTCTAAATTGTGAATGATGGAATCAGCAAGATGTAATAAAGACGAAGTAGTGCTGTAACCAGCTCTGAAACCTGACTGATGTAGAGGAAATAAGTGATTTTGTTCGAAAAACTCCACTAGTTGTGAGTAGACAGCTCTTTCGAGTATTTTTGATAGAAAGCATAATAAGGTAATTGGCCTGAGATCCGAATATTGTTCTGGATGATTAGTTTTAGCTATTGGAATAATAATACCATTTTTCCAACTGGAAGGAAAGTAACCTGTTTCGAGACAGACATTAATAATGTGAGTTATATGGTATATAGTATCAGGCAAACATAAGCAAACCATATTTAAAGTTAGACCATCAGAGCCACATGCCGTAGACTTAATGTGAGAGATTATATTGACGATGTTTTGCTGAGTAAGGAGTTTAAAAGCAAACAGAGGTGCATCCGGTGTATGGCGTCTATCGCTATAAGAGTTAGAGACACTATCAATCAAATTTGAATCAGCTGCAGCTGTCTGGAAAATTGAAAGAAAATAATTATTTAAAATGTTAGGCTCAAGGAGACTGGGAGGTATCGCAACATGTTTCTGGGCTACCACATTCATCCTCCTCAGGTGTTTCCAAGCTTGACTAGAGTTAAGATTCCGGAAACGTGACATATATGCTTTTTTCTCTCTTCTAAGCGATGCAAGGGCATAATTTCTCAAATCTTTGTAGCTGACCAAATTCTGATCAGATCTGTTATGGTGATAGACAGCGAATGCCTCATCTCTGAGTTGAAAAATCATTTTCAAGTTAGAAGTGAGCCAGGGCGCAGCAGGTTTTGTGACACGTACTGTACGTAGCGGAGCGTAGAGATCGAATAGATAAAGAAGACGGCCAGTAAAAATAGAGACTTTAATATCCACATCATCCACGAAATAAATGTCATTAAGCTGCATTGATGCAATCTGCGTCTTTGAATATCAATGCTATTAAGATGTTACAAATTTAGGCTCTATTTTTTTTTATAACAAACGGAAATATCACAGTATGTGAGCCGATGATCACTAATTGAGTCTGCATTGAGTGTCCCTGACCTTTTGACGATAGTATTGTCACTAACAAATATTGGATCAAGTAATGTGGAACTGAAGGCTGTAACACGTGTAGGCTCATCAATGACTTGAATGAAATTGAATAAATCAAAGCAGCTGCTGAGGATGTTGTTATGAGCAAGCAAGTCGACATTCATATCGCCCAAGAATATAATGTTGTCATATTGCGGAGTGAAAAATGAGATAAGATTTTCTAAACACTGGATGGCTTGATGTATAGAGCAATGTGGTGGCCTATATATAACAATTAACATACTGGACCCGCGCAGTTTAAATTTATAGCATAACATTTCAAGAGGATTTATAAAGTCATCGAGCTCAACTGGGATAAGATTAGTGCTAATATCTAATTTAACATACAGACCGATGCCACCCCCTCTGCTCCCACGGTCCTTACGGAAGAAATTATACCCAAGTATATTGACTACAGTGCTGTCAATACTGGAATGCAGCCATGTTTCAGTGACTGCTACAACATCAAACTTATATTGAACAAGAGAGGCAAAATCATTAAAGTGAGCTGTTAGAGAACGCACATTCAAGTGACATAGTTTCAAGACACTTTTTATAGTGTTAGCCATAATCCACCCTTTCTTTTAGAGTCTGAACATAATTGAGAAACACAGGACAGTTTGGAAAATTAGCCGAATGATCAACTGGTAGAATCTTCTTGTACACCTTTACGCATTGTAGGGCGCTCGAGTTACACTCCTTGATTTTATGATTTCGCGTACACCTTGGGCAGGACAGATCAGCTTTACAAGATGCTTCAGAATGGCCAAACGAACAGCACTTGAAACACTTTAATATGCGAAAGTGATCAGGGATAGGTGACTTTTTCCAACCAAAATATAAAAACCCTGTCTTTAATAATTCCGATCTTAGAGTAGGAGTGACTTCAATTACGATGTTGATTCCGCGGGAGGATTTGAGCTTAGTGACAAACTTAAGTAGAGAACCATCAATGTTGTTGAGAGAAGCTATGTTCGAAATCAAATCATCAGGATTGTCAAGACCGTCCAAATTAACGTTTCTTATCAGCAGGCGTGGATTCAGCTTCTTAGCTTCAGATATTGAATATTTAGAACCCAATTTATTGCAAAGGTTATCTTTCAGTGTGTTAATTTTATGAAATCTTAAAAATTAGTATAATCCGAAAACGGCTAATTTTCGGACAGTAGTCCCTATAGTAAAATCGACTCAGATTGACTTGTAATATCTCCCCCCCACCGACTCCGCATCCAGTTTCCCGTCACCCTGTATTAAACACTTCTAATGTCACCGAGTATATTTAAAATATACAGACATACTTGTGAGCATCCTCACAAGGACTGGATCTGAAGGACACAGAAAACACATTTTTCTCGCCCACGAAGATCGTCTGACTTTTGATGAGGAAACCAGCATTCTAAAGGTGCTCCAAAAATAGCGTGAACGATGTACTGATAGATAAAATTACCGAGGTTTTAAGCATATAAATATACCTAGGGCGTCAGTCTTATGCAAGAAGATGAGATATAAACTCCTCCACTGGACCAGTTTTCATTGGCATAGTAGACACCTAAAGAACGAGATAAGTGGTGCTAAATCATATTTTGCTAGTATCTTTTTGGCAACACTGTTTTGACAGATGACGCGTGAATCGTGTCTTGTGTCATTGTCAAACTTGTTCAGTTTAGTCTATAATTTAACCATGAATCAACTTACGAACGAACAACGCGTGCAATTTATTGAATTTTACTATCAAAATTCATGCTCGGTTAAGAGAGTGCATCGAGCACTGCTTCCAATTTATGGGCAATTTTGTCGGCCTACTGAGGGAGCTATTCGGAAGCTTGTGACTAAATTTCGAACCCAGTTACATTATTGGACATTAAACCACCAACACGCAGGCGTAGAGTGAGGACTGAAGAAAATATTGCGGCTGTATCCGCCAGTGTTAGTGATGACCGTGAAATGTCGATTCGCCGCCGTTCGCAGCAATTGGGCCTCTGTTACTCCACTACGTGGAAAATTTTGCGACAGGATTTGGCTGTAAAACCTTATAAGATACAGCTGGTGCAAGAATAGAAGCCACACAATTTGGTGAATGGGCGCTGGCAAAGTTGGAGGAAGATCCACATTTTTATCGAAAAATTGTGTTCAGCGACGAAGCTCATTTCTGGTTGAATGGGTACGTTAACAAGCAAAATTGCCGCATCTGGAGTGAAGACCAGCCAGAAGCATTGCAAGAGCTACCAATGCATCCCGAAAAAATCACTGTTTGGTGTGGATTATGGGCCGGTAGCATCATCGGGCCGTACTTCTTCAAAGACGACAATGGCCGGAACGTAACTGTGAATGGCGAGCGCTACCGTGCGATGATAACAAACTTTTTTTTGCCCAAAATGGAAGAGCTGGACTTGGCTAACATGTGGTTTCAACAAGACGGTGCCACGTGCCACACCGCCCACGAAACAATGGCCCTATTGAGAGGCGAGTTCGGTCCCGTCAATTGGCCGCCTAGATCGTGTGATTCAACGCCGTTGGACTATTTCTTGTGGGGCCATGTTAAGGCTAATGTCTACAGGGATAAACCAGCAACGATTGACGCGCTGGAAGCCAATATTGAAGCATTTATTCGTGAGATACCGGCCGATATGTTGGAGAGAGTGTGCCAAAATTGGACCTTGCGCTTGGGCCATCTAAAGCGGAGCCGCGGCCAACATTTACATGAAATAATCTTTAAACATTAAATTATATCGACCGTTCTATCGACTCAAATAAAGATTTAATCGTTTTTTCAAATTTTTTGTGTTTTTTTTTGAAAATCAAATCCTATACCTCTTAAAAAATCACCCGTTATATGTTTTACTTACGTTTTGGCACTAGCTTCGACGAACATGAGCCCATTTTCCTCCGCAAATTTACTAGCCTCTTCATAGGTGACATCTCGTTGGCCTTCCAGGTCACACTTATTGCCTATGAGGAAAATCACAGTGCTAGGATTGGTCAAGTTTCTTGTGTCGGTCAACCAGCTGCTCAGATGATTGTAGGTAGATCTAGAGAAAAACATCAACATAAATTTAACAAATATGGTATTAACAGTCATATACGAGGTGTAATAAAAAAATATAAACACATTTTTATATTGGATACTGTTGCATCTGCATCACCTAAAGTAATCAGTTTGATATTTTGTTCTATTGAAATAGTTTGTGGTAAATTTGATTAAGTAGCAACTTATCTACTAACTTCCAGTATATGCTGTATTTTTCGTACATCATGAATTTCGGAAGTGTTCACAAAATTTTATTTTTAAGTTGCAAGAAAGTGCCAAAGAAACTCGTGAAACGCTAAAATCGGTGTATGGTGATGCAGGGTGCGTCATCTATTACTCTCTTTTCTATTTGAAAAATCAACACGCTTTTTACGAGGTGAAATCGAATTATTTTATTGATAAATGAAGGTTGGTTTATGCCATTTATGTATGAAAAATAACATCAGTCATGTGACCACCGCGGCTTCGTTTACAGGCCAACATCAAAATTTTCAATGACTTTTCCCAGAATAATCGGGTCTACGGCCGCAATTTCAGTCCGAATATTGCGCTTTAGGGTCTTGAATTGTCCGGGGACCATTCGCATACACTTTTCCTTTCAAAAATCCAAAAAGAAAATAGTCAAGAGGTGTTAAATCGCACGATCTCGGGGGCCAACTGACATCTGAATTTCGTGAAATTATGCGGTCTTGAAATTTCGTGTGCAATAAGGCGATTGTTTGGCGAGATGTGTGAGCCGTTGCTCGGTCTTGATGAAACCAAAGATCGTCGCCACCAATACCATCCAAATGTGGCCACAAAAAGTCTGTTAACATGCCGCGATAACGTTCCCCGTTGACGGTAATGGCCTTTTCTTCGGCGTCTTCAAAGAAGAATGGTCCAACGATGCCACCAGCCCGTAATCCGCACAAAACAGTCACTTTTTCAGGATGGAGAGGTTGTTCATGATATTGGTGTGGATTTTCAGCCTCCCAGAAGCTGCAATTTTGCTTATTCACGTGCCCATTCAGGTGAAAATGAGCCTCATCAGAAAAGAGCATTTTGGCCGAAAATCCGTCCTCTCTTTCCAGCATCAAATTAACAAAAACACATAAACTTATAGGTAAAAAAAGTAATAGATGATGGCGCGCCCAGTATGTGGTGACTCAGAAGACTGTTTATAAGTGGTAAGAGCGGAGGTCGGAATGACCTTTGACCTGAAAAACCAATGAAAAACGACAACCGTGAACTCCGAATGTCGCTAAAGAAGACTAGCAAAATAGGCCAATGGTTCCCTTCTTCATCACAGCAATGCACCTTTCCGCCAGACTTCACTTTTGATACGCGAGATTTGGGCAAAAGAATGTCTATATCCACATTACTCTCTGGGATTTCTCAAAAATGAAAACTGTCCTAAAAGGGGAATGTTTTGACATCATTCCAAAAATGCTTCCAATCGAATCACTGTTGGCATAAGTGCATTGCTAGCTATAGGAGAATACTTTGTTAGTTGAATAATTTGTTCATTGTCCACATTTTTTGATCACACCTCATAGACGGATATTTATTAATCACGTTTCAGTAAATTAGTACATGTAACAAGTCAAAGAAGGAAAAAAAATATTGATACACAAGACATTAAAAATTACAGTTATAAAAACAGATGTTAGACCTACATATGACCATGACAATTTAAAATGTGTAAGATAAAAATTATTGTACAGTATCAAAGCAGTTTTGGCATACTGCTGAGTACAAACTGTTACATGTTATATTCACATGAGTAAATCCTTGTATATCAAAAATTCTCAAGCAATGTTGAAGAGCTTCACTAAATCAGGACCTCAACTTCTCCTGATGCTTCTAACTTTTGTAGCAGTATTCTATGATTATTCATTTCTTAAGAGGAAATATCTACCTTCTCAAATACAGTCATTACCTTCGGGTAATATCGTACACCATAAGTGCGCCAGCAGCACCTCTATAGTAAGACCTTGTGACTGCTCTGAACCTCTCCTGACCTGCAGTATCCCATATTTGGAGTTTGATCTTTTGTCCTGACACTTCAATTATACGAGTTCCAAACTCTACTCCTATTGTATGGGGGCAGTCAGCCATAACTACAAAAAAAGTTATTAACAAAAAAAAGAATGGTAATGACTTGCAGGAATATGAAATTTCATGAGTTTTACAACATATTCTAAAGTTCATGGAAACAAGTAATTTCTCATAAATTGTTGTTCTTGCCAAGTTGACTTGAGCCATAAATAGGCTAAATAATAATAAATAATATTTTGTTTGTCCTAGAGAACAAGAAATTATAAAATAATTAAATTAATGAAATCAAATCATGGGTAGAATCTTTGGTTTTTATTTGTATCAAAATACCATAGTACTCAATCCAAATAAATATGTTTTTTATAAAGTTGATGGAATACATTTTTTGTCAATATTATTTGTGGGACTACCACTAACATCCCACTGGAATTCATAATTAGCTAGATAAGTTTTATTGCAATGACAATAATGGCAAAATTTAACAAAATTCATGCAGGGGTCTTTGAGATGATAAAAAATAATTTTTAAACTTGACAAACAAGACTTTTACAGAGTATATGTTTATTTAAACTTTTCTACTTGAATTTGGGTGAAGAACATGCCATTGGAATCACATCATATTTTTAAGTAGCACCCTGTATATTAGTGCAAAATTAATTATATATTATTATATGTATTCAACTCCTTATTTAAAAACATATTTCCTAATATAGATTTGCCTATTAATTGTTTAAAATAGAAAAAATATGCTGTAACACATTAACAAGAAATATAGCCTATGCATTTAAAAATTATATAGTCAATGTATATAATTATTATAAAATATGGGAAACTGTGCTTCTAAGTACCAACTGAAGTGATATACATAATGATAAAATGCATACAAATACCGAAAATATAACACAGACATGTTTCAAAACATGATAAAAATTGATAATTTGATACAAAAACAGAAGCTTGTTATCATCATATGAAATTGATAAAAATACTCTAATTACTGTGGCAGTGGATGCACCTCTATAATAACCATGCTTATTAAAATATAGGAATAATGATATACTCACATTTTTTCTCTGTAAATTGGTGTAGGAGACAAGACTTGCCTACACCCATGTCACCAATGATAATGTATTTGAAAATATAGGAATAATTGTACGGTCCAGCAGACATGTTGGAAATCTGGAATATGAGTAATATCTAGTTAATTAATTGTTATTACGATTCAAGTACAGTCTAGATGTTTGTAACTGTGGATAAATACAAGAATTGCAAAATGTGAAACAATGAATTGGTCGTAAAAAGGATGTGGACAAATAATGTGACTAGCGATTATGTACATCCCTTATTCTATATATTACCTGTTTTTGTATCAATTAACTTGAAATATAATCTACCAGCTATTAAACGTTGTTAAATATGAAAAATATTTGTAAACAATTAGGAATTAACTTTTCTTTTGACACGATGTCAAAATTACAAATCGGTGGCCATTTCCCGAAGAGATTTGACTGTTTTGACGGCCTTTAATGAATGACATCGAGCAAGGATTTCAAATAGAAAATCACTTGAGGGAACCCGTACTTCTGCCCGCCATTTTCGTTCCTACGGTTGAGATTGTTGGGTTAAATGTATTTTTCTTTCACCATCTAATTACTGAGTTAAAAATTAGGCCCGACTAAAGATAATGTAGTCACGCAAGACAAGTTTTGAAATATACTCTAGAAGTCTATACGTAGCGAAATTTTTCTCGAAATCGTTGCACACCGCTTAAAATAGCAAATGCAGATTGGAAAACTGCCACTTTGACGTACTAAATGGCTCCGTCGTTACCCCAGGATAGACATACGTTTTGGTAGTTGACCTTGTCATCTTTTCACCTAGATTGCGGTGTTGTCAGCTCATCGGACGATGTTGCTAGAGTGATAGAAATATGAGCCATTTCTTCATGAAAGCATAGTCTGACTTTGCAAGATATGGAAATCTGTCTTATAAGCAGATATCAGGCATTCAGGCAGCTAAAAATGGACAGCTGACGTATTATTAAATTATAACTCGTCGATCATTATATACTTACTCTTGTTGGACATTTGGTGGCCACGTATCCTCCAACAACCACGGAAGACATTGTAGTCTCCCACGCGGCTGAATTTCTAGCTTAGGAAACGTCAATAAATCAGCGCTTGATTTTTTGCACCATATTTAGGCCCGTATCGTCAGTCGTCCCTACAATTGTAGGGCGCGTTTATGACCTCCTTGATTGTCATACTGCTTTCTCTCCTTCAACAATTTCTTGATTACACTTGTCCCGTGTCAGCGTCAGCACTCTCCTATTGTGAAGATATGTTTTCTTTTTAAATTGTAGGAAATTTCAGGCTGATAAAACATGATATAACTCAAAAGCAAGCACAATTTGATGCAAATAGATGTTTGTGACATAACCTCAAAATGGAGTTCTGACACAAAGAAGTAGAAAACTATGACAATCAAGGAGGCCATAAAGGCGCCCTACAATTGTAGGGACGACTGTCGATACGGGCCTTAGTAAATAAGGGCTATCACCAATTCCTTGGACTAAAAATAGCATTTTGTTCGAGGCCTTGCTAATTGTAAATTTCCTTTTATAATAATTTATTACAGGGTGGCCAAGATAAGGATCAAACTAGTTTAAATTCAGTAATCACACAATCTTACATCAAGCATTTGTTTTCAACGCCTACTTAAATAAAATGAAAAAGTAGAAAAAAACACGTTTGTTTATAACTAAAAAAACAAATGTAACGTGTTACATCGTTGAAGTCGTAGAAAAAGATGCTATTAGATACAGGGTAGTACTAGAACACCATCATGTAGTGCCATTAGTTTTTTGACATTTCTTAAAATAAAGTCAGACAAAAATAAAAACGATTTGGAGAATTTTTATTTTTTCCCAAATACTTCAGTATATGACTATGACATGTATCCTGTTTCCCTCAGAAAAGTTTGAAGTAGACCTAATTTCCACTTGGAGACACTTGACACCCACGCCACAACACTAAAACACCATAGTACCATTGAGAGACAATCGAGAATGATATAGTGAACACCACTATTAAAAAAATAGCTTAACCGAATAGAGCTCTGCACCGGAGCTATGAACGCGTGCACATCCCGCTGCACCGACCGTTGCCGAGAGACTGAAGTGTGTGAGTGCTGCACTTCGCTGCTGCCGGGTAGTACAGCCACACCCCTTTCCAGCTCCCACTCCGCGCGTCTGCGTTTTCTTATCTGACAGTATCACGAAGCGACTCGATGTTTACGTTGACGGGAGCGTTCGCGCGGAGTGGAAGCTGAAAAGGGGCGTGGCTGTAATACCTGGCCGCAGCGAGGTACAGCACTCACACCCTTCAGTCTCTCGGCAGCCGGGGCCGCAGCGGCATGTCGACGCGTTCACAGCTCTGTCCAGAGCTATATTCGGTTAAGTTATTCTTTTCCTAATAGTGGTGTTCACTATAAGGTTCTCGATTGTGTCTCACTGGTGCTTTAGTGTTGTGAGGTGGGTGTTAAGTGTACCCAAAGTGGAAATTAGGTCTACTTCAAACTCTTCTGAGGGCAACAGGATACATGTGCAGCAAACTGGTTAGCTTTGCATACTCATCTACTTGTATGTTAGGGTTGACATGCTATGTTTTTGTTTGTTTACTGAGGTATTTGGGAAAAACTAAAATTTGGCCAAATCGTTTTTATTACTTTATTTTAAGAAATGTCAAAAAACTAATGGCACTATTTAGATGTTTTTAAAAAAGTGCTACACAGTATCTAATAGCAGCTTTTTCTACGACTTCAACGATGTATCACCTTACATTTGTTTTTTAGTTATAAACAAACGTGTTTTTTTCCACTTTTTCATTATATTTAACAAGGCGCTGCAAACAAATGCTTGATGTAAAATTCTGTGATTACTGAGTTTAACCTAGTCTGATCCTTATCTTGGCCACCCTGATACGTGCACTAATCTAACGTTCTGGTATGTATTCTTATGTACTTACATTCATTTCTGAAAAATCTCAAAACTATTAGCAGGGCCTCGAACAAAAAAGTCCAATTGGTGATAGCAGAGGTAGCAAAATCGCCCGATGAGCTGGCAACCCCGCAATCTAGGTGACAAGATCAACTTTCAAAACGTATGTCTATCCCGGGGTAACGACGACGTCATTTAGAAATTCAAGGCGGAAGTATCACGTGATTTTTTGATATTTGGGTGACGTCATATCCGTCTTCCCCTATTCCCGTTCTTCGCGAAAATCTAAGTATCGGTTCCCGGTAGTGCACTGTGCTACACCGTGGACTCTCGAAAATAATGCTTATTTTCACTGTTTTAAAAATGGCGAGATTGTTATTTCTTTGCCAATAGGTTGGTCCTGGATTTTAAATTGGAAATTTCAATTTATATCTAGCAGTCCAGTTCTATATTTCTGATAGGCTCGCTCGTAGTATCCTGAATTAGATTCTGAAAAAGGGAGCTACATGGGAGCTAGGCTCTAAGATTTTATGACTTATGAGAGCTACTGTTGTTTTTATCAAAATCTCAAAAACGATACACCCTCATTCCATAGACATCGATTTTCCACTTAATCTTGAATATTGCAGTGGAAATTGAACGAATTTTGAGATGTACCACAAATGACCTGAATCTGTTTACGTGTGGCGTTCCTTTTTCTCGAAACAGTTGCCGGCTCAGAAAAGTGGGTGTTGTGGATCAAGTGTGGATCTGGATTTTATGTATCCCAAAACTACTCTTTTGATCTCCATAGAGCAAAATATGGAATCCAGAACACCTCTAATTCCAGCAAAGTCACCATTTTCCAGTTGAAACTATGCACAAAATCCAAACCACAAGAGACTGATGAGTCAAAAGCCTGAAGCGACATGGGTAACAAAAACAGTTGCTGTTCATACTCGAGCCCGCAGAGCAGTCACAGGGAACGGGTGATTCTACCCATAGAGGATTCCCTGCCTGAAGGAGAGATCAGTCAAAGCAATTTGCAACATATCAGCGAAAGAGAAGGAGATGATGGGGAGGCAGATCCTTCACAAGATCCTATGGCAAAGACTATATTCATTGAGAGGTCCAAAACTGCTATTGAAAATGGGATGATTAGGAGGTTAGTTTCAGAAAACATAGGTCACTTGATCATACCTTTTATGAAGTATTGAATTTTCTGCCTACTAGATTCTTTTATGATTTCAAGGAAGAAAAAACTTGATAAATACTGATCTGATAATGGCATTCTCTGAATCTGTATTGTTTATCTTACAAGATAGCAGTTTTGTTTCTATGGTGCAGAACATCAAACTATCCATAAAAATGTTATAAGATTTAATTGAAAATAGATTTGCCTGTTCTTACAATAGTGTTCAGTTGAAGACTCTTGCAAAAGAACTGGTTACATCCAGTTTTTAACTGAATTGAGTATTAATTATCTACTTGTTGACAGTTTGACATTGGACATTAAAAAAAAATATCTTATTGAGCTTTAGCTTTGGCCAAAAATAACTGATCATCCATAAAATCCTTTTTTTATTTTTTACAGTTTTGAATAAAAATTTTCTTAAATATATTCCCCTGTAGGCACACAAAATTAAAAAGAATAATAAATGGCATTTATGTTACTTGCTTTAATTTACTACATATCTTTTGAGAGAATATACAGCATAGGCAGAACTTAGGGCTATATTGTCAGTCGCTTGTACAATTGTCGGATGCCTTTATGGCCTCCTTGATTTTCATAGTTTTCTACTGTTCCATGTTAGCTCTCTATTTTGAGGTTATGTCACAAATATCCTTAATCTAAGCAAATATCTATTTGCATCAAAGTGTTCATGCTTTTGATTTATATCATCTGTTATATCAGCCCAAAATTTTCTGCAGTTAAAAAAGAAAACATAACTTCACTATAGGAGAGCACTGACACTGGCACGGAACAGTAGAAATCTAGAAATACCCCCGCCTTTCAGAAGGAAAGGAAAGTCTATGAAAATCAAGGAGGCCATAAAGTCATCCTACAATTGTAGGAACAACTGACAATATGGCCCTAAATGAGCATGTGCATTGCAAACATTTTTTTTCAGCAATCCATGCCCTGGTTTATTTTATTGATGTTTTTTGTTCCAGCATCTTTATCATTTGTTCAAATATAATATATTACTTGAACAATATGTGTTGAGTAAAATCAGGAAGATTTACAGTACATACAAGGTTTTTCTTGGTTGCATTTAGGCCTGTTCGCTATGGATCGTTGCTTTGTGATTTAGATATGAAATCAAAAATTTTGAATCATAAAGTGTAAAAATTGCATTTTTTATTATACAGGGTGTTTCAGTTTATTGTTGCATAACTTTAAGATTCGATAGGACTTTTAAAATTAATGCATAAAGTCTATATAAACATGGGTCGACAAATGCGTGGCTTCCGAAATACAGGGTTTTTAAATTTACTTTTTAAGTAACGTTTTATGGACCGATGAGTCATGCTTCACTAGACGTGGAGTGGTAGAGAGCGCCCTTTAGCGGCTACAGTAAAACTATGCCCATGGTTCGTTTTGTCGTACCAAAAAACCCTTGTATACCAATTTTCACTGTTATACATCAAATATTGTTCGAAATATTTAAAAAAAACTATTTTAGAAAGTAAATTTAAACACCCTGTATTTCGGAAGCCACGCATTTATCGACCCATGTTTATATAGACTTTATGCATTAATTTTAAAAGTTCTATCGAATCTTAAAGTTATGCAACAATAAACTGAAACACCCTGTATATGTACCATCAAGGCAATCAGAATATTTCATTAATGTCAAAAAGCATATGAAAATTGCAAAACAAAATAGTGATTTATAATCTTTATAGCTAGATTTAGCTAAGCCCTGTAATAATGTGTGAGAATATTAAAAATTAGGTAGGAAAGATCCTTGTGAAACTCCTCTGGTGGGTAATGGATATAATCATCTGTCTTTAATGGGAATTTGTAGGGCAGAGCTGCTGATGGTGTCTTTTTATTAAGTTTTGATTTTGAATAGACACATAAATTGTGTATTTTTCTTCAGGAAAAGTCAACACCAAATAGCAGATCTAAGACCTCTGAAGAAGAGCAGTTCATGTTCTACAATATATCTGGATGATAGCACTGTCTCCCAACCAAATCTCAAAAACACTGTGAAATGTGTTGCTTTAGCGATCTATTACCACATCAAAAATAGGTAAATACTGTAATTACGACATTGAAAATTACAAGTGTCGATGTAGGTACTACTAATTAAAGATCTTGTTTTCGTCTAGTATTGTATCTTATATTTAATGTTTCAACTTTAGATTCATTTTAAAAAATGCGAGTTTATTTATCGACCGTCCACTTTTCAGAGACTCCCAACGTGACATAGACATTTTTGATGAGAAGCTGCATCCTCTGACCAGAGACGGTGTTCCAGATGATTATGACAAACACAATCCGGAACACAAGCAAATCTACAAGTTTGTCAGAACTCTGTTCAATGCAGCTCAATTGACTGCTGAATGTGCCATTATTACTCTAGTGTATTTAGAAAGACTGTTAACGTATGCAGAATTAGATATACAGCCTTCGAATTGGAAGAGAATAGTTTTAGGTGAGAATTTAAAACTGTAAACACATTGCCCTTGCCTATAAGAACATAAATTGATGGTCTGAAAAATACTAGCGCCATCTATGTGATTTAGATCTGCTGTGAAAAGTCTTGGAATATTTGGTTCTACTACCGTTTCATAGATGGCGCTAGGATCTTCATTTCTTTTTGGGTGTCTCTATAGCGCCTATTTCAATTGTCTTGTCTTTGAAATCAGCAAATTTTTAATGAAGGTGTGGAATGTATAATCATTCTACGACATTTTTACTTGCTGTGCTACTGGCGAGGAAGAATTGTAAGTAGTGAAAAGTCAACCTACTCGACGTCATTTTTTTTCTTACAGGAGCAATTCTCTTGGCGAGTAAAGTATGGGACGACCAAGCAGTTTGGAACGTGGATTACTGTCAGATTCTCAAAGACATAACGGTGGAGGACATGAACGAGCTAGAGCGGCAGTTTCTCGAACTATTGCAGTTCAACATCAACGTGCCCTCTAGCGTGTACGCGAAGTACTATTTTGATCTGCGGACGTTGGCTGAAGCGAACGAGCTAGCTTTTCCTCCGCCGGAACCGCTGAGCGTGGAAAGGGCGCAGAAATTGGAGGCTATGTCTAGGGTAAGGAATCTACTGATCAAATTATTCTATCTAGATTTTCTTCGACAGCATTAATGAATAACATACTGCCATACTTAACTGCCTTTTTTAAATTTTGACGTCAATACATTTCGTTTACGATTACAATTACAAAATACGCGACTTTAAAGTAAAATAAAATCTGACAACGCCGCAATGTCATACGCAAATTACGACGGAACGCAGAGTGAATAAAGATGGAGTTTGTTATTTTTGGCTCTTAGGTATTATTCCATTATTTGATAATATACCAGTAAAATGCAAGCAATTAAAAAAAAACGGACTTGCCACTAACTGTCTCGCGCTTCACCTGGTGTGTGAAAGTTCAGTGAACGTATTAAAAAAATCCACTTTTTTGTATTTAAAGAAGGTGTTCAAAATGTCGTCCTCCACTTTCCATACAAGCTTCATTACGACGAACCCAGTTTCTTCTTACTCTAGGTCCTCGAAATTGTCCATTTATTATTTCAGCCGCATTAATTTTTTTTTCGCGAAGTTGTGCTTCAGTTGTTATTGGACCAGCCCCATAAACCATCCCTTTAAGTTCTCGCCAATACCAGAAATTCATCGGATTGAGGTCAGGAGATCTTGCTGGCCATTTTCGAGGATCAGCACCATTTGGACCGATCCAGCGATTTGGATAATGTTCATTCATTTTATAGTACCGTTTATATTTCTTATCTTAGGTGATGGCGGACAAGTATACCCAGGAAGCAGTGAAGAACGGACTGAAGAAATGGTCCAGTCTCGATAACATTACGAATGGCGGTGCTGTGGCGAGACGTAGCGTCGCCATTTTGTCGTGATGCCTTGTAGGCACCTGTGCTGCCTAGGTAATGACAAGGGGGCCAGATTTATGGAAAGTGATCATTTGAATCTGGAGGATAGCGAACTGTAAAGTATACTCCAAAATTCACGTAGGCGTAGAATTAGAACTCGCGGTTTTATACGTGAGTTGTCTCAAAAATAGGGATCTCAAATTTTTGTCAGGTAGAAGGATTTTTTTTCATACAGTGGATGGGGTTATTTTTCTCCATTCGTCTTGTAATATTCCCCATAAGTGTTCTTGAGATGTAGTACAACATTTCCGTACTTGTTCATCCCACAGTAACTCTATCGGGTTCAAATCCGGGGATTGGGGAGGCCATTTCAAAATATTTTGTTCTTCTTTTGCTTCCCAAAATTTTTTTACAGAGCTTGGATGTGTGTTTGGAGTGATTATCATGCTGGATCGTGAATTTTGGGGATATTCAAAATATTGTATTGGAAAAGAGTAGCAAATGAATAATGCATATAGCTATAGATCAAAATTAAGATTACTTCCGATTTTAGATGCATCAAAAATCATCTTAGGATTCCAATGACCACTGGCACTTTAGAAAAAACTTTTGTACTACTGGAACATCCAAATTTCATTTTAGTGTTCATTGTAAACTCCGAAGTTCTTGCAACGTATTTTTTGATAATGGATAAATATTTGTATTCCAGTCTGAATATTAGAAATACATCGCAGTTATTCATCTTAACAGCGAGGAAATATATCGTTGTCCAGTAGTACTTGAAGTGCAATATTCGAACTAAGTGCCAAAATATGATGAACATTTTTCAAAAATCATTTCCAAAATGCACGCATTGCTTTCTGCACTGAAGTGTAGTGGAAGTTTTAAACAAGAATCTAGAAATACGTGCAATGTTTCCAAATTTTATAAATTATTTCAATCTACATTTTTTTTATATGTATACCGAAGTATTCGCGTAGACAAAAGCCTAAATACGAGGGCACCGCGTTCTATTATTTTCAAAACGATGTTTTTTGAAAATTAGGACTCGGTGACAAAATAGTCTTTTGCCCTATGTTTTCGAAATATCCTTAATGCTGGTTTTTAACAAATAAATATTTTAAATACCGCGCAATAGTGAAATCTTCGAACAGCATATTTTCATTATATATATATATATATATATATATATATATATATATATATTATTTTGAAATAGTGAATTGGAATATTTTAGTTTGGAAGTATTGCATCAAGCATAATCAAATGTGATATGTCAAATGTTTATATATATACATAAATATTTTATTCATCTACTTTTTAGTAAAAGTGTCGAACTATGTTATTTTTACGATATATAAACCCCCCTATTCGGTTTATAAGCAATTATTACCAAAGTAATTGAACAATAATTCTTTAAACCTTTGTATATAAATTATATTATGTCCCAGCGTAATTTTTATTCAAGCCGGACTACAGTATTTTTGTATTCTATTAAATATAATTATCAGGCTTATTTGTCTAATCCAAACCAACTTTTTTTGAGGTACATACTTAACTTCACGTCTTGGATTCCCTTTTGAACATAATAATTTATTGGTATACAGTTTTTGTGCTCAACATTTTCGGACCCAAAATTTAAAATTCAGAACCGTCTGCATGGAATTTCTGATAAACATTTTGCCTTGTAGTATAATCAACAATCTCTTAATGACTAGCAATTTTTGATATATAGAGTGGAAAGGAAAAAGCTTCAAAGTTTTAATTATCGTTCCTTTATATTCTCATGTTCTTCCGGAATTTTATTAGTCCCCTGCTTTCATCTCGCATGTTAACAGTTTTTTAGATAAATTATCAAAGAATTTAATTCTAGTCAAAAGTCATAGCTGTCAAATTTAGAAATCAGAATAGCTAAAATTTCCTTGGATTGCATTATAGGAAGGAATCTAGTTCCTTTAACTTTGTACAAAAATATTTCTTGGCTATTTTTATCTTTCGGGATATACCTAATAGCCCTATTATAGTCCAGGAACTATTTTCTCATCTGTTCGGAAAAATATTGCAAATCGCTTTTTGCATAATTTTATTCAAAAAGTGCCCATTTTAATGAATCTGTATGTTACCAGGCCTCAAAATTCGTCAAAAATTGTTTAAATTATTTTTTTAAGTAAAGTCGAAAAATCGGACAACTTTTTTGTTTTTTTTAGGTGATTCTGAAGAAAAAAGGTACTATTGAACTTTTATCTACAGTCCATAGTTTTCGAGATATAAGCGATTCAGTATTAAATATACAAAAAGGTATCAAATAAAAAACGAAAATCTCAATGTTGTCAAAGTTTCTAAATATTCTTCAAATATCCAATAACAAAATCCCAAAGAATTTAAGAGGGTAGTTTAACAGTAAATAACCTTTGTTTTTTAATTTTTAAAAAGAACAATATACTTCAGCCCGCGCTTAATAATTAAAAGCAAGGGTTTTTTAAATAAAAAATGCTTTAAATTGCTTTGAGATTTTTTTAATGAATGTTTGAAGAATAGTTAAAAATTTTGGCAGCATTTCATTTTCGTTTTTCATATTGTTTTTCGGGACCGAACTCGTCACAATTTGCCCTTTTTTAAACATTATATCTCGAAAACTATCAACTTTAGAGTAAAGCTCATAAGAATCTTTTTTGTTCAGAATAACCTTAAAACCAAAAAAACTTCGCCCACAGGAATTTGTTTTAAAAATGTCTCAAACAATTTTCGACGCAATTTTGGGCATAGCAACATGCATATTCTTTAAAAAGGACCCTTTTTGAATAGGATTATACAAAAAACCGAATCACGCGAAGCTATTTTTTGGGCTTTGGCCTTTGACAAAAAATAAATTTTCGGCACTGCTTGAGGGATAGCAGGAATCTGGAGATTGCGAAAAGAGTTTTCCTCCTTGCGACATACAAAAATTCCCCGCGGTACCGATAACATCAAACATCTGCAGGTTCACGGCAGCGTTTTTTTTTTAAAAATTTCAAAAAATTATCTTTTTTACTTCGGCTAAAGTCGTATTATGTTTTTTTTTGGGTGGTTCTGAATAAAAACGGTTTTTACGAACTTTTCACTAAAAATGATAGTTTTCGAGATACATGCGATTTAATATCAGAAAAAAAATGTGCTTTTTCGACCCACTAAAACAATTAGCAAAAACTAGAATTTTAGTTTTGCTAAAGTTCCTGAATTTTCATCAAATTGCCATTAACAAAATCCCAAAGCATTCAAGTGTCACTTTAAACTTTTATTTTTCCATTGTTAAGAAGCGCGCTTGATTAACAATTAAAAAACAAAAGTTTCAAATATCATTACCCCTAAAATGCTTTGATATTTTATTAAAGGGTGCTTCAAAACTTTGGAAACATAAAAATTTTCGTTTTTTCATATTTTTTTTTCGAGATAGAAGATACGTTTTGTAATTTTTTCGAATACTTACCAACTATCAACTTTAAAGATCATGAGAACCTTTTTTTTTGTTCTAAATGATTCAAAAAACCTAAAAAAACATTATTGGAATTTGTATATAAATATTTCGACGGAATTTTGGACCTGCCAAAGCAGAATAAGATTTTGAAAAAGAATCGAAACAATATTTTTCCGAGCAGATGCGAAAATATTTCCCGGACTATAATACGGGTTGGCATCTAGAGGAATACTTATCAACGCTTATTCATTATTTTCTACCAAGGCGAGAAGTGTTGCTAGTAGACATTTACAAAATAATCATTTTACATGTACATTTTTTAAATTCGTGATTTTTTCCATTTTGTGATTTGATCATTCCAAATATTTTTTGTAAGAGACTGCACCGTACAGCTTTCGAATCACACGTCCATCTGATTTTTATAATGTACATTAAATGTGAATGAAAGGCGCTTGATGGCCTATTTTCAATTTTTATACTATTATTATACTAAGCTTTGTCTAGAAAAAGTGGAAAATAAAATGATTGTAAATTGGAAAACGTGTTTCAAACCTACCTCCGTCGTCTTTATTTATTCGCTTGGTGCATGATGACCGCGCCATCTAGCGAGTGTCGCACAGAAATATTTGGTGCAAGCGATATAAAAATAAACTAATAATAAAGAGTTCTTAGTGCAACAAAAATAATCGTTAAACCTTTCGTTGCGTTATTTTTGACAGCTAAAGCAAATATAGTCTAGTCACTGAAACAAATCAGATACGTCATATTTAGTAAATTTGAATGCCAACCTTAATGCGAAATAGATCCTAAATTGGTACGTATAGTTTAAATTTCCCGGCTACATTTATGTTGGTAACAGTTTTCTGTGTTGTGACATTGTCGCAAAGCTTTTCAACGGCTGTTGTTTATTTTTGGTATATTTTTGTTCTTTTTGCCTGAATATTTGCATTGTTATTTCACAAAAACAGTTTGAGGTGTGCTTTTAAGCATTTTGCTAAAATGCCGAAACCTCTGTGTCGACAAGCGAAAGAATTCGTCATTTCTTTGACGAAATACTTTGAGACCGAACAAGATCATGGAGCTCCATTATCGCCTTTACAGTTAGAGAGGTATTAGAATTTAAGCTAGTTCTAGTGTTTACAAAACATACGCTTCGTAATGTTGGTTGCGGCAAGGCATTGAAGACATGAAGTAGATTTTGTAAAACGCCCTAGGATCCAGTAGTTTTAACTAATGTGGCAACCATGTGCGTCACTGTCATTATTTGTCGTTGACGTAATTGCTTTGATTCAGTGAATAAACTATAATCAAATTCAAGAATTCGTCATCTCTTTAACGAAATGCTTTGGGACCGAACGAGATCATGGAGCTCCATTATCGCCTATAGAGTTAGAAAGGTATTAGAATTTATACTACTTCTAGTGTTTACAAAACATACGCTTCGTAATGTTGGTTGCGGTAAGGCATTGAAGACATGAAGTAGATTTTGTAAAACGCCCCAGGATCCAGTAGTTTTAACTAATGTAGCAACCATGTGCGTCACTGTCACTATTTGACGTTGACGTAACTGCTTTGATTCAGTCAATAAACTATAATCAAATTCAACAATTCGTCAACTCTTTGACGAAATACTTTGGGACCGAACGAGATCATGGAGCTCCATTATTGCCTTTACAGTTAGAGAGGTATTAGAATTTATACTAGTTCTAGTGTTTACAAAACATACGCTCCGTAATGTTGGTTGTGGTAAGGCATTGAAGACATGAAGTAGATTTTGTAAAACGCTACAGGATCCAGTAGTTTTAACTGATGTGGCAACCATGTGCGTCACTGTCATTATTTGACGTGGACGTAACTGCTTTGATTCAGTGAATAAACTATAATCAAATTCAAGAATTCGTCATCTCTTTGACGAAATACTTTGGGACCGAACGAGATCATGGAGCTCCATTATTGCCTTTACAGTTAGAGAGGTATTAGAATTTAAACTAGTTCTAGTGTTTACAAAACATACGCTCCGTAATGTTGGTTGCGATAAGGCATTGAAGACATTGAGTAGATTTTGTAAAACGCCCTAGGATCCAGTAGTTTTAACTAATGTGGCAACCATGTGCGTCACTGTCATTATTTGACGTTGACGTAACTGCTTTGATTCAGTGAATAAACTATAATCAAATTCAAGAATTCGTCATTTCTTTGACGAAATATTTTGAGTCCGAACGAGATCATGGAGCTCCATTATTGCTTTTACAGTTAGAGAGGTATTAGAATTTAAACTGGTTCTAGTGTTTACAAAACATACGCTCCGTAATGTTGGTTGCGGTAAGGCATTGAAGACATGAAGTAGATTTTGTAAAACGCCCTAGGATCAAGCAGTTTTAATTAATGTGGCAACCATGTGCGTCACTGTCATTATTTGACGTTGACGTAACTGATTTGATTCAGTGAATAAACTATAATCAAATTCAAAAATTCGTCATTTCTTTGACGAAATATTTTGAGACCGAACGAGATCATGGAGCTCCATTATCGTCTTTACAGTTAGAGAGGTATTAGAATTTATACTAGTTCTAGTGTTTATAAAACATACGCTTCGTAATGTTGGTTGCGGTAAGGCATTGAAGACATGAAGTAGATTTTGTAAAACGCCCTAGGATCAAGTAGTTTTAGTTAATGTGGCAACCATGTGCGTCACTGTCATT